CAGTGTAAAATGAAATAAACTGATGTTTACCTCTGTCCTGCACTGCAAAGGTGAATTCTTGGGGTATTCTGTGTAGTCCTTTACAGTACTTTCCCTCCTTGTGGCTGGTGCCCTTTATCTCTCTCCTATGCCTCCATTCTTTCCAGGCCTTTTGGAAGGAACGTTATAGCTAGGATGAATTAAGCAATAGGTCTGTATAATTCTGAGTGCCTTTGGTACCCTTAAACTCCTGGATTCCAGTATTTTACTTTTTGTCCAGAAGTGACAAATATGGCCTTTGAACAGCCACCCCCCAAGCAAGAGGGAAACTTAAGGCAACCTTGGTTGAAATGTAGAGTGGCTCTCTTTACAACTATTGGGCAGTGTGCACATTTTGTCATGCACACTAAAGTGACTGTATCTTCTCCACAGGTCATAATTTACATCATTGTGTCAGCTGCTTGTGGTGGGCTCTCGTGGCCATATTGTGTCCACAAGTAGCTGTTGGAACACGTCTACATGAGAGCACACGTGAGCAAGAATTTCTGAAGGAACGACCCTCATAAAACAAACATGGACCTCCTTGCTCTTCATCCTTCCAGGACACTCAGGTCTTTTTGCCTTATCACCCCAAAAGGGCCTGTGTGGGACCCCAAGCCAGAGGGAGGCATCTTTCTTTTAAACCTACCTACTTGAAGGGAGTTTTGTCTTTTAATTGCAAGGCTTCCCAAGAGGTAAGGAAAGTGGTTGACATTGGGAGGGTCTAAACATACTTCTGTATTACCATGCTTTGCACTTTACTGTCCTGATTCCTGGGAGGAGGGGAGAGCTGATGGTCATTTGTCCTGTTCATCCTTTGGCCCTTGAGGGGGCAATGTGGGTGGGACCACCGAAGCCAATGGGTTCCCAGATGTAGCCCAGATGCATGTGATCAGCTCCTCCCACAATTGCTTTCCCAGTGGTGCCTTTCCTAAACTCATGTCAGGCTGTGACTTGTCCTTGGAGGAGCCTCCTGTGGCCACCTGATGTGCACACTGGTGGGCTCTGCTTTGTGACTTGGGTGATTGCCAAGTGTGTAATGTTTCGATGTTGCTGTAATGTATCTGCTCTGTAGTGTTAAGTGTTTTTTCTCTTGCCTGGTTTGGAATGTTTTCAGTCTGGAAAAAGTGCTCGGCTCAGGCTCCACCTGCAGGGTCAGTGAGAAGGGGCTAAAATATTGCTCCAGTGAACAAAGCCCTGTAACAGAGCACTTGCACAATGCACAACATAGGCTATTAGTCAACTTGATTCTGAATGGGGTGGGGTGGGGAGGGGAGGGTTCTTAACAAGCAATGAGTAAAGTCAGATGACAGGCCAGAAAACAACACAGAGATCTTCATCTGCTGATCTGGGGGAGGGGCAGGGGGAAGGCTGAAAAGAACTGCTTAAGGCTTACTCAAAATTCCCATGGAATCGACCCATCAAGTACTTTCTCTCCCCCTCGCCCCCCCCCCCACTCCTGTCATGCATTGCCCTAATTGCATACAGGAGTTTCACATCCTTGTCAGCTGCTGGTAGATTGCGCAAATGCAATTGGATGCCATTTCAAAGCTTGTATGCATGCTGAGTGCACTCCTGGACACTTTGGAGTGATTTTTGTGGCAGACTCTACCTGGGAGCTAAAGCTTCTATGGGATCTTGCACTAAAAATAAAGGGCTGCTGTTTGAAATGTTGGTGGGCAAGGCAAGATTGCAGTCCCAATGGGATACTCTACATATGCTGCCCCAAGACCTCAAACTGACAAGATACTTTGGCTGTCTTCATCCTTGTGTGTTGGGAGTATTGGACAAGAACAAATTATATAGGAAATGGACACTGATTTGTGCTGGTTACAGCAGCCATAGGACATTTAAACGTTCCTCCTCCCCAGGTTTATATGCTACTGAAGAACTGAGGCAACTCCCTAAAGTAGGGTGGCACTTTGCCACTCCCTCTGTGCTGTTCTTTTACTAATGCTTTTTTTTCTGTAATGAGGTAATTTTCAACAGCAACATAGGTGAGTGTTGTTTTATGCCCTATCCACTGTGCTGCAGAAGTTGGGCTATCCTGGGCATGTCCTCACTTGCCAGGGCCTGCTATCTGAGAAGGGCTCCCCTAATATTTTTTCCAGGCACATGTTAATGTTCACTTAATTGTGCATGTTTCAGAATTAGTTGGTAGCAGTTAATTTTCTTATTTTTGTTGCCTTTATGTAAAACCTTTAAGAGAAACAGCTTCTTCCTGTTTTAAAATTACACTGATGCATTGTAAAATAAAGTTAATCTGTTTGAATAAACCTGTTGTACAAATAATTGATGTGAACCTTTGCGGGGGAGCTTACTGTTTTTCTTGAATGACATTAAAAATCTTAGAAACGTAATATGGGATCATCTCAGCTGTAGGTAGTGCATTGAGAAAGGTAATGTGTATGGTAGATATATGTGGAAGTCACACAGTATGTTAAAACGCTTCTGAGGAACTTTAACTGTATTCTGTATCTCTCTGGCTTGAGTCTTCATGAAAGGCAGAATATAAATAACATACTGCGCAAGCTGGTAGTGTTGTAGAACTATATTGTAGACCCACTTCTGCAATTGGAATGTGCATCTGTGATGTTGCACCTCACCCTCAGATGTCTGGATTGAGGGTATATTAAGCTTAGTCTAGATCTAGATCTTGCTTTTTAGCAATGCAATAGCTGAAAACAGCTTTATTTTTGTAAATGGGAAGTCACTAGTACTTGAGTTGGCATGCTCTTCTACCTTTGAGCACTGTTTAGTATGAATACATCCTCTCTTGTTATTTTTGTTATGTTAGGTTAAGTCCAGCTTTATTCACAAGCATGACTGTCCACTCCACTCTTCTGCTTATTATTAGTTAACTCTTAGCTGCAAGTTATTAATTACTAGTTCAGGTTTATTACCAACAAGCCCATCCCACTTAAATGCTAAATTTAAATAGTGAGTTCAGCTGCTGCCATTTCAGTGACACCATTAATATACAAGTACTGAAGTAAAAGCTTTCATTATTTGAGGGCAATATTCCTCCCGCAGAATACCTACATATAATTAACTTCCCCAGAGACTTACACCAAATGCAGGTCTTTTCATGGGAATTCACATTATTCTCAAGGCAAGACAGTGCCATAGGGAAGGGGTTTTTTGCTTTTACAAAAGAAGCCATACAGCCCCACTCTGTGCACATACCCCTTTGAAATAATAATATAATAATAATTTATTATTTATACCCCGCACATCTGGCTGGGTTTCCCCAGCCACTCTGGGTGGCTTCCAACAAAACACTAAAATACAATAACCTATTAAACATTAAAAGCTTCCCTAAAGACAGAACTTTAGTATTAAATAGAAGGTAGGTACTAACTACAATATCAAGTCACATTGGTGGCAGGAACTAGGAGTGGCAGGCCAGTTTGCATTCCCAGGTATGATTGTGTTGTATTTATAGCAAGCACCAGCAGGCACTGATTTAGCTGAAAATTCAATTTCCTTCATTAAAAACAGTAAAATATAACGAGTTGTACAAAAAGCAGAAAAGGAGGATTTTAGTATCTGAGATTACCAGTTGAGAAACATCAAGCACTTGTTCTGCTTTCAGATGCAGTACTACCTACACTATATTACTGCAGCACATTATGTGGGACTGCCTCTGAAGAGAGTTAAGAAACTTCAGCTGGTGCAGAATTCGGTGGCAAAGTGGCTTGAGCATATTACACCAATCCTGGCCCGACTGCACTGGCTGCCAATTAGTTTCCATGTTCATTTCAAACTGCTGGGTTTGTCCTAGAAAGTTTTGGACCACCTCTTCCCATATACTCCAACCCAGACTCTGCAATCATCGTCAGAGGTCCTTCTTTGTGTGTTCCCTCCACAAGAGTTCCAGAGGGTGGCAACATGAAAACAGGCGTTTTCTTCAGTGGTTTCCCACTTGTGGAATGCTTTCTCCACAGAGTCCTATCTAGCACCTTCATTACATATCTTTAGGTGCCACGCAAAAACCCTTTTCTAGAACCAGGACTTAGGCTAAGTAAATATTCTGTGGCCTTTTAAATGGGTTTGGGGGTTACTGGTTTGTTTTTATGTATTTTGTGTTCTCATTTTGTACTTCTCCCTGTGACCTTCAGATGAAGGGTGGCATACAAATTTCATAAATAATAAAATTATAATAATACACCAAAGACTGTCATTACTCAGGTAAAATACAAGGAAAAGAGCAAATAGGTACACATGAATTCACTACAGGGTACACAGCAGCCCTTCAAGAAACCACATAAGAGTCTTGGTGTTTTGATATATTTATTTGGGAGTGTGTACTATCAATGATCAAAAACCAGCTTCAACCACTACTATAATCAAAGTAACTGAGATACCCATACTTGGGATAATTAGAAAACCTCTGAAAAGTTCCTAGAAAAGTTAAGATACCCCATATGACACTGTAATTTCTAATTATTTCTACTTCTCTAGATGCTTTTTGGGAGGGAAACCCCCACCCCCCCAAAAAATCAAATGCTTTTATAGCCATAGGGGCACTATCCTGTGCTCGTCTCCCCCCCCCCCTTTGGGGGGAATGTTCAAACAAATGTTCAAGTGTAATCAGGAAGCTTTCTATATTCCCAAGTACAAAGCAATAAGAATATAACAGCTAAAGCAAAATAAAAGCAGTCAATTTCTACCACTGAAATAAAACAAAGGCAAAGAGGTGGCATGAATTCAGAAAAATATCCCTGTTGCTCAGGTGCACTGATGCTAAAGATGAGTAGACTTTTAAGAACCTCCTCCTGCCCAGCCAGCTGGGCTCTTGGTCCAACTGCAGTATTTCCCAAACCAACCAGTCACTGTTTAGCAGTATAGTCGTACCTCGGGTTAAGAAATTAATTCGTTCTGGAGGTCTGTTCTTAACCTGAAACTGTTCTTAACCTGAGGTACCACTTTAGCTAATGGGGCCTCCCACTGCCACCGCAGCACAATTTCTGTTCTCATCCTGAAGCAAAGTTCTTAACCCGAGGTACTATTTCTGGGTTAGCGGTGTCTGTAACCTGAAACGTATGTAACCCGAGGTACCACTGTAACTTCACATTGGCTCAGAAGCACCCTTCTTTCCAAGAGTCATCAGCAGAAACACTGGCCTTCGGAAATCTGTTGGGATACAAAAATTAAGTACTTTAGAGGAGTAGCCACATGCTACTGTAATAGAGTAAGAGCCAACATACATGATTAGCACTTATGTGCTGTATCTGTTGCTAAAGTACAGCAAGAATTTTAATGTTTGAATGCTCTGCTGTATTAAAAAACTCCAAGCACAAAGAAAACTAGCTTTCTCCCCAAATGTGCTCAGGACGTCTGTTTTCTACACAGCTGCAAGAAAAACAGGTGTTAATGTGTTTTACTGCATGTGCATGTGTTGGGAAGTTATAATGAAAGGATGGTTCCAGAAAACTGATATGCAGCAAAATAGATGTAACACAACTTTCCCTGCTACAATGTATACTGCTTCTCTTATATCCACCAAAGAGAAACATTAGGTATTGAGCAGTACTCTTATTTGTTCAATTAAAAATGCAGTCTTTTCATAGGGGATGATTTTTTTCCGGGCATGTTGCACAAACATGGAACCTTGATTGTCACATAGGAAATCCAAGGTGATACAGTGGTTACCATATCAGAGAGCTCTACAGCTGAAATAAATGTCATCAAAGCAAAAGTACATTGGTTGGCTTTTAAAACATGCATGCTTCTCAACATCCCTGTAGCTACCCAAGAACCAGGATTCTTCCCTGTGCACTAGCATCAATTCTATACCAAACACAAGGCCAACCTCAAAATAGATGGTTTAAGCACCATATATTTCACATATACCAAGCAATCTTCCTTTACTACAGCCACTTACTGCTTGTTGAGGACAGAATTATGCAGACAGCACTTCACCCAATAAGTCAGTTCAGAATTAGCAAAAGTAACAGCAACTCGCGACTATAATGACTCCCTAATCTCTTGCTGCAAGCACTTGCCCTCACATCCACCTCCATGCTTATATTTGGCCTTTTTGAAAAAACAAAAGCATTTATTCAAAAGTTACAATACAGCTTTGTCCACTGCCATAATATCATAGAATGATCAATCCTCAATCCCACATCATGTCTGCCTTTTTACATTTCATGCTTGAAGCAAAGAAACTTAACACACTGCCCCTAAACCTGACCACTCAGAAGGAAGTTCCACTGAATTCTGATAGAGCTTCTGTGTTTTCCTCTAAAGTTGAAGGAAATTATCACAATTGGTCAACAAATTTTGGTTGGCCTTGGTGAGCCAAAAAAATTGTGGATGCCAGGATCATATAACCACAAATCAAGCATTGCCTCTGATTTTGCACTGTGTCCCTGAGATGTCATGAAGTTGGAAACAAACTTCCATCTTGAAAGTGGACGGCAGGCAGAAGCTTGCTTTGCGCCTGTGCTTGCCAGATGCTCCAAGCACCTGGCCATGTAGCAACAAAAAAAAAGTTACAGTTTTCTTACCAATTTTTCAGCTGAGGAGGTAGGGATCATTCTGCCCCACACTGCATCTCCAGAACTAGGAGAATGCCTTTGGACTCTTGCCCAAGGGTGATGGGCGTTTGTTGTGGTGAGCAAAACTGTGGAGTCCTGACTCCAATGCAAATAATATTAGAAGCCAATATTGCTATCCCAACCAAGCCAACAGCACAGATACTTCTTAATTCTCAGGGCACAAGCCCAGAACATCCTTTTTTTTTACTTTGCACTTAAAGCTTTTAGCTCTTACCTCTTGGCTGGCTGTGCCAGCTTGCTCTTCAGGGAGGATGTCCCCCCAATGGACGTTCTACTTTTTGGAAGGGCGTGTTTTGCTCCTGTGGCCATACTATTGCTTCTAGCCACCAAACTGCCACCACCAGCAGAATTTGGATGCTGTGTGGAAGACTGTAGCTTTCGAACTCTGCCAACAGTACTGGCAAAACCAGCAGCTCTAACGGACTGCTGTGGTGTTATGGGACTACTGGCACAAGAACCTGCTTTCATTGGCTGTCGGACTATTAAGGGTGGCTTCCCAGCACCCGAGGAATAGCGGAGCTTACTTGGAGCCAGACCTTGAAGTAGGGTGGGAGAAAAGGCACAAGTGAGACCACAAAAAGATTTACAAAGTTTATATCCTGTCTTCTCAGGATTACAAAATTTAAAATAAAACACTAACAAAACAAAAAAACCAGGACACCCCCTTCCCCAAACAACCCCAAGAATAGCCATTAGAGTTCATTCCTGAAGACTTCCCATTGGAAGAGAATCTTCAATGCCATCCTAAAAGCAGACCACGAGGGAGTCAGATGTACCTCTCTTGGGAGGTAGTTCCACAGACTGAGTGACACAACAGAAAAGGCCCTGTTTTCATTCCTAATTATCAATGCAGCGACAGAAAGAAGTGCTTCAGAAGTGAAGCGGAATTCTCAAAAAATGCTTTATGGAAGAAGCGATTGTTGAGATAACCTGTTCCAGGCTGTTTAGGACCCAAGCGTGAATTGATCCTAGACACAAAATTGGTAGCTAAACAAGTTGGTAAAAATTAGGATGGCATGTTCCACCTCCTGGCTCTAGACAAAACCAAACCAGGAGATGACAATGCCATGAATGAACTTCGGTCCAACACCCTCGGGAAAATGTACAACTAGTTTGCAGAGATGGAACCAAGAGCATCTCCAAGCTGTGAACCAGCTACTTCTCAGAAAGTGTAACCCCATCCAGAACAGGCTGCATGTCTATTGCAAGATTATCATAACCCCCAACCCACCAGTACCTCTGTCTTATCTGTTTTTAAGATAAGTAACCAACATTCACAGAAAGAAAAGCTAACTTACCAGCCGATGGCTGATTGATTCTGGAGAGTCGACTACCGGGAACCTGCAGATCTGACTCCAAGCTGCGGCTGTTCTTTATAGACTCCAAGGAACGCCGACCTGTTCTGGCCAGGTTAGGAATGCTGTGCCTTAGCTCTTCTATAAAAGAAATGCAAAGACAATGAGAAATCCAACTGCTTTAATGTATTCACTTACACAACCACTGCAGGCACGTGATCTTCTCAAACATGATTGGATTCAACAAGAGAATCACATACCTTCATTCCCAGAATATTTCAGCCTTTCCGGAATGGAATTCTGCACTGCTCTCCGGGAGGTGTGAATCCGGGTGCCTGTTGCCCTGCCAAAGTCTGTGTTTGTGGATGGGGACTGGCACCGTGGTGAGTTCAGTGGGGATGGTGAGTATCTGTGGCTACTATGATAGGAAAAGGAACAGCCATCATCCTCATCCTCCAGACTGTATGTGTCAAAGTCTTGGTCACTGTAGGTGCCTTTGCGCAATGAATGCAAAGAAGCACTGGAACTACGACGGGAAACAGAGGCTGAGCTGGAGGCATAATCCTGGCGAAGACCTAAAGTATGGCCAACAACAAAGGATACAGTTATTGCTCATTGTTTTTTCCCAGAGTTCTTGCCTGACATATCTTTGCTGAAGTTTCTACGATATGACCCACCACTGAACTACTAAACCAGACAGAAAGCAAAGACATAATACACTGCTTGTCACAATCACAGTGGTGCAATCAGAAATATTGTTCCAAACCCTAGAGATGGAAGATAATCATTCAGCATGATATATTCCCATCAGGTGCTCACATTTTATGCTACTTTTAAAACCTAGTTACAAACTGTACAAACAGTACTAGCACTGTGTACCCAATGCTATATTTCTAGATTGGTGCCAGAACTCACCATGAATGCCTACCATGTTCTCTTATAATGGCAATGACACCCACCTGAGAGGTGCCAGAACTGCGTTGCTATGTATTCCAGCTGGGGGGAAAGCCCTGACTTTTCCCCCAGCCGGAATACATCTAGTTTTACAGCGATGTGTGTGGTTATTTAAAATGAATCGCTTGAATTTTAAATTGCAGGAAGGTTAACAAGACATTTGTTGAAACAACAACAAAAAGTATTTACACACACACACACTGCATCCATTCTTTTGTTATGGATCTTTGCTTCCCCACTATTTGACTGGATTGTCTTCCAGTGGGATAATACTGTTAACAAGCAGCCACCCAGCCCATTTGCTCCTGTTTAAGTTCTCTTAATAGGATAATTCAAGTTACTTTGTTTCCATTTTAAATCCCACCTAAGCAAAAACATCTTCAGACTAACACAACAGCTAAACTGAAGATACCAATATATAAGATGGACACATCTTTGCACCAAAAAACACTAATTTATGCCACAGCTTTTGATGCCTCTAACCTCATGTCTTCTCAGTAACTTCAGAACATTGAAATTGCAGTTGTGAAAGCTAGGCACCCTGCAAAGCAGCTGCTTACAGGTCATGACACCCACATTCAGGGCATAACAAAATCCATGGAGATTTCAACTAGTTTTTTAGCTGTGAAGTGCATATATGTATGAGAAACCAAATGCTCCATATGTGTTTCATACACTGCAGATAGTAAAAGACTTATTTAGTTTAAAGAAGCTGGCGGAATTTTGCTGCACTTTTCACAAAGATGCTGTTTCCAGACCAAGGCCCCAGGACTAGATATGCTATTCCAACCTGTTCTCCTGTTCAGCAAACGCTGAGTTTGCTGTCAAACTTACTTTCTTCCCCCAAATCAGCCTGTACACCTGACCATCACCTAAACTGAAAAGGTGCTCTTGATCCAGAAGCAACTGCAATGAGTCTGAAAGGTTTTACATTCATCAGAGCAACAGTAGTCCTTACACATATACTGTTCACAACATTTACTAGTATCAACATAATTTATTCAGCAGGGCTACTCAATTACCCAATCTAAGTGGAGAATTTATGTTACTGTGTTACATATAATGCGAGAAAACAAAATTAAAATGTTACATATAGGGAGAAAACACAAAAGTAAAATGTTATTTAACCTCTATTTGGGCAGTTTTTTAAAACCTCTTGTTGTAGGTGATACTGTCCTAATGTAGAGGAAAATAAATTGCTTTCACATACTTTCTTCCTGTAGACGGGCCATAACCAGCACATCTGTCAAGTCTTGCAGTTTGTATCCCATCGTGATAGAGTCATCTGAGGTACTGAGTTCACTGTCAACGGAAGACTGAGAGCTCAATGCTGAATGCATGCCCACATAACCTTTCAGAAGTGGTGGAGGAGAGAGAAAAGTCAAAATGAGGACTAGAAAGTATTATTTAAAACTCACTAGTAGTAGCATACTAGGTACACAGCCTTGTTTGAGTCTAGTAATGAGTACAGTGACACTTCCGTATAAAGCATTCATGTTTACCATTAAGATTAATTAGCAATTACTTCTGAGTAAGAGAACTTCCTTATGTAACTAAATTACAGAGAAGGCCCACAAGTACAGAGTTTGCATTTAACATAGTTTTCATCTAGGGACACGGGTGGTGCTGTGGTCTAAACCACCAAACTTCTTGGGCTTGCTGATCAGATGGTTGGTGGTTCGAATCCCCATGACAGAATGAGCTCCCATTGCTCTGTCCCAGCTCCTGCCAACCTAGCAGTTTGAAAGCATGCCAGTGTGAGTAGATAAATAGGTACTGCTGCAGCGGGAAGGTAAACAGTGTTTCCATGCACTCTGGCACTCATCACGGTGTCCTATCACACTAGAAGTGGTTTAGTCATACTGGCCAGCTGCCTCGGCCTGAAGCGAAATGAGCACCACACCCCATGGTCCCCTTTGACCAGACTTAACCATCCAGGGGTCATTTACCTTTACCTTTTTACCTATTATTGTTAACATCCTGCCCTTCACTTTGGGAAGGTCATAATAATTTAATGGCCCAATGGCATATAGTGTCTAAGCAGGGAGTAGGGGGGCAGGGAATGGTCTAGGGCCCTTGAAAGAATTTTGGTGGAGCTACAGCTAGGCCTATGATGACCTAGTGACTCTCTTAACTGCCACCATTCCCCATTTCCCAAATAAGAAAAAAGGCACTGTAAGTCAAAGGGAGATGTCTTTTAGAATGAAATGTGTTCATACAATATTTGTAGACATGTTCTTTTTAAAATAAAAAGTACCCCTTCTTCTGGCTATGGCGAAAACAAATAAACCAAATCAGATCACCAAATCTTCATGCATCAAAGCCTCCTAGTTTGCAACAATCAAAACCTTTCTTGTCCTCTTGCTGGAGGTAGATTTAGGAGTCCTTCCTCCTCAATTCAGACACTGTGGATTTAGGCTGAGTCCTAAGTTTCCTATAAGACACTTCAGAGAGGGGAACACTTTTTGCCTGAAAACATCATAAATAATTGACTATTTGAAAAATTTAAAAGCCCAATACAAAAACTGGGCAAGAGAGAAGAACAGCCCCTTTTCTGTCCAAACCCACTGCGAGTCCCCACAAAGGTTTGCTTGTTTGTGGAGAAGGGCTGTCAAATATTTGCTTTGCATGCAGAAGGTCTTGAGTTCAAACCCTGGCATCTTCAGGTAGGACTGAGAAAGCCTCCTAGTCTCTGAAACCCTGGAAAGCCACTGTCAGTGTAGATAATATTGAGCTAGATGTACCACCTCAATATAAGGCAGCTTTCATTTATCATGTTTTTTTCTAACCCATCTTCTAGTTCATTTGTGACCTAAAAGGAAACAACCTACAGTCCAATATTTGTCAAGTTTCTTTGGTTGATTGCCCAAAGAAATTCTTACTCATCATAGATAACCAGGTAAATGGCTACTAACCAAGCCCTAGGACACCTTAAGGAAAATACAGGCTTACTCACAGACCAAGAACCTAAGCTAATTATATTACATGGTTCATATGTATTTAGGCAGGATGTGCATTCAAGTCTAACCTCAGCAATCTTAATTCCCTCAGACTCTTAGACATGATGACAGCTATGATCAGGTACAGTGGCACCTTGGTTTACAAACACTTCGGGTTACAAATGTTTCAGGTTACAAACTCCACTAACCCGGAAGTAGTTGCGAACTTTGCCCCAGGATGAGAACGAAATCATGCGGTGGTGGCATGGTGGCAGCTGGAGGCCCCATTAGCGAAAGAGCGCCTCGGGTTAAGAACAGTTTCGGGTTAAGAACGGACCTCCGGAACAAATTAAGTTCGTAACCCAAGGTACCACTGTATTCAGAGGCATGAATTTGTCTGTTGCTGAGTACCAACAGCAGGAAAGGGCTATTGCTATCATGCCTTGCTTGTGGGCTTTCCATAGGCATCTGATTGGCCTCTAGTTATGTGGTCTGGTTATGCTGTTGTCACCTGTGCATACTGGTCACACTACTCTTTGGAAAACACTTTGACCATTTGAAGTTTTTCCCAAGTCTAAGCAAAGAAACTCACGTGCCATTTCTATAAAGTCCTTTGACTTCAAATGTCAAACTAATCCTCCCCCAATACAGAAGGAATTTTACACATGCAAGTTAAACAACAAGTCTTCATACAAACCATGAAGTGTCAAAGCAGCAGAGGGAAGTCCTGTAACAGGAGGCTTCATCAGGGCTTTATCTTAAAGACCAATCAAATGCCCCAGAAATGAAATGCTCAGTTGTGCTGGGAGGTGGACTTTTCTCTCAAGAAATAAAACTTTTAAAATTCCCCAGAATTAGCACAAACAAGCAAAGAGGTCTAAACAATCAGCATTAGGCAAAGGCAAGAAAAAGAACTAGGCAATCACGTTAAGCCTGAAGATACCAAGCCAGTCTCACCTCTTCCTCCCCCACTCCCTCATGCATCTCCCACCTCCAGTCCTCTGAAACTGTCCCCAATGCCATGCCGTACCTGAGCTGCCACAAGTTAGTAGCGGTTTGTTAGTTGATTTGCAGTACCCGGGTATGTTTAGTGCATTGCTACAGGACCCTGTGTCTGTATTCAAGTTATGCACACTTGAAGATGCCAGTGGACCGCAATACATGGATTTCCACCTACTGGCTAAAGGAAAATACAAGAAAGCCATGTAACTTTACCAAGTTAAATAAAGATATGGGCAGAAGGAGTGACAGACTACATTTGCATGCATTACATGCCAGACACACTCACCCTGAACACAATACAAACAAATCATTTGATTACCAACAGTTTAAAGTTTCTGGAATATAGAAAAAAATTAAGACAGTTCTCAGTTCTGCATGCAGGGTTCTCTCCTTGGCTTAATACTGCATGCCTGCACATGTAAAGACAAACAATACAATTGCTTCTGCCTCAGCTTATAATGCCCTCCCCATATACCTGAGACAGCATCAAAAATATCAGACAGAAGGAGAGTGCTTCATGCATTATACTGAAATACTAATAGTGCTTCCTCTTTCCATGCTTCCCAGATAATATACAGACAGGGTAGATGGGATAGCTCCCCTATGTGGGAAGACAAGATAATTTTGACCTCTACGTCATCCTGAAAGTGAGGATTTAAATGATTCACAAATATCGTTTTGTGCCAGTCCTGAGGAGCAAAGCTAGCCTCAGTCTAGTGCAATTAACATTTATGCTGGTAAAGTAGCTGGCCTACCCCAAGCAGGGGCAGGGAGCTTTGTTTCACATCACCCAATGTGGTACAGGATAATAATTTACAATATACATTGTGCATTCTAGAAATCAAACATCCAAGAGTAATCAGTGTGAATCAGCTATCCTGCTGATCCAGATACAGGCAGAGTAGTCCCATGAAGCAACCATCTGTGGACTTACGGGAATGAGGGGAAATAATGTTGTCCTTCTCTTCTCAATGCTCTCTTAAAACACTTTCATTTAAAGTGTATTAAGAAGTTTTGAAATACATGCTGCAAATAACAGCTATAAAAACCCTGCATGAATAGTCCACAGGTACTTGGCATACAGACATTTAAAATCAAAGACAGATTTCCCATCATTAGTTGCAGCTAAGATCTAAAACAAGTTAATGTTGAGAGTTCAAAAAGGAGTGGTGTTATTAGTGCAGAGAACAATCAAGCCTTATTCTGAGCCATCTTGTCCTTGAAATCCCTCAACTCAGAATGGTACCTCATGATACAATGGACATTAGATTCTTTGAAAGCTAACTGAATGCCTTCTAGAGAGACCAACTCAGCCATAAAATGGAAATGGGTAGAAGCCTGAACAATATAACACATTTCCAGGTGGTCTGAATATATTTCCAGGGTCTGAATACAGGCTTGTTTAATAGTTCAAGACAAAATGATTACAGTGTTCACCTTACGCATATTAAGAGCCATTTTGAAAATAGTAAGATTAATATTTGGCCACCCAGTAGCAGGCAATTATACTGTGTTTCTGCCTCCCTGAGCAGGCTGATAGATGCCAAGTGACAAAACTGGGCTTTGGAGGGATGTGTCTCTCTCCACTCTACCAGTCATCAGAGCCTTGTCAGTTTTCTGTTGCTGGCTGTATGTAGGCTAACAAAATCCTGGTGCCTTGGTGCAAGAGGAGATATGTGGAAAACAGAAGTCTGAAGGGCTCATTTAAAAAAGAGGATGGGAATTCTTTACTCCCCTATAACCAAGGCCTAAAATGGAGCAAATGGGACTTTTATGACTTTTTTTCACAGTAAGCACAACCCTTCTGAAAGCTTTTTTAAAACATATTGCTACCACAGTTAATACATATGGATGCAACTTTTATATTCAAGATCAAAGCTAGTAAAATTAGCAATTATAACATGGCTACCAACTTGACTTAATTGCTGAACAAGCAATCCTAAGAGTATTGCGGAGTACATACAAAACATATTTTCAGTATTTGAAGCAGAAATGCAACCAAGAGAAGGATTCTGCCAAGCAGATTGCCACTGCAACATACAATTATCTATGTAGAACACATCCTCTGAATCTTCTTGGTTCTCACTTGCCCCAGACCTCTATTTTCTGCATTATGAAGCAAATGATCAATGTTTGAACATTTTCACACACCAATGAACAAACTGAAATGTGTGAAAAGTGTTGAGATGCTTGTTAAAATACATGCAAATCTTCCAGAATAAGTAACTACAAATCTTTCAGATACTGATTCCGAGTAAAAGGACAGATTTTTATTTGCATTCTACCCCATCCCAAAAATATATATTTTAAAATAGCATCATTTAATCAAGAATGTAATTCTTTTAAACTTGTAACTTAAAAAAACTTTTGCACCTGCAGTTTTTATATTGGCGTATTTATTATTATTTTGTTCCATGATGCCTACAAGTTTTAACAGAAAGTTGGCATATAAAGTTTATACTTCTCATAAGGAGGCTAATCATCCATCTACTATTACTTGCTATGAATGATAGGAAATTGAAGTCTTCAATATTATTATATGATGTGTAGACAGTTAACACGAAATCTAATGGACTAAAATAATTTACTTTTGAGTAGGCATGGATAGAATTAGAATCCACAGGAGTTTCATTTTTCAGAGCTCTCTAAAAAACCACTCACCTGTTTGTGAATAAGAATTATGAGGTTTGCATGATGATTTTAAGTATAGATCATAAAGCCTTACTTTTGTTTACTACAATATTGATGGCTTTAACATTAACGATTGTTAGCAGTCCTGGGCTAACTGAGTCAGATATGATAATAAGTATAAATTTTGCATATTATTCCCCTACGTTGAAAAAAATAAACAAAGATTAATTGGGGTACAGGAGCTTTCAGCTCCATCCATAGCACTGGTCACATCTAGAACAGTTATTATAACAGACATGTATACTTTTAAACAACTAATACATCACACATTGATTATGTTATGATTAATTATCTTTATTCTGAAAAACTGTTTGAAGCAAATACAGTATCAAAAATTCAAGAAAATGTTTATTTATGGTTAAAAGTGATTCTCTATTTGACATGAAGTTACCAAAGCTGTTTACTTAGTATTATCATCCACTGATGAAGCCACCTCAGCCCAAGTATCATGTACACCACCTTGCCTCTGGCAAGCTTAGAAAGATTATCTCCATGGCACCCTGCCCAGCCATTAGTGCTAATGCAATGTGGTTTAAGCTCTGGCAAGAAAATGCTAAAGAGCAAAACAAGAGATCAAGGTACCAAAGCTCTTTGAACTAAATTCAATTGCAAAATTCCAAATACTACCTATGGAAGGAGCAGAATTGTCCAATCAAATTTAACTTTGCAGGTGCTTTGAGAACCTTCATGGTTTATCTGCTTGGTAATTCTTGTGACAACCAAGGCCTCAATCCTACACTCACCTTCCAGGGAATAAGTCATATTGAACTCAATTGCACTTTCTTTTGGGTAGACATGGACAAGATCACACTGACAATAATAATTTTGACCCTTCTGTTTTTTTTTCCTCAGCAGCCATACAACACAAAATATTAAAACACCCTTTCAAACACATTCAGCTCACCTACCTTGGTCAAGTCTGCTAATTAGGGTACGGCAGGCTGCCTCCGTCTCAGGACTAGGATTGTCTAACACATGCCTACACCACTTCAGGGGAGACTCCTTTTCATCTGCTGGTATTTTTCTTGAAGACACATATAGCCTTAAGCAGAAGGAGAAAGTTTAACATGCTGATTCAGTAAATAATTATATCAGTTTGTCCACCTTTACAGCCAGGGTAAGCTGCTGAAATAAGCAACATGAACTATATACAGTATGCATGCCCACCCCAAATAGATAACTACATTTATTACACTGCAAATAGGGAGTCAGTGTGCTTTCAAGGTCAGTTAGTAATTTTTGTATTTTATTTTTTCTAATGATACTTGGTGAATTAGGTGGTTCTGGTGGAGTCCAACAAGCAATGGTACTACAGCAAAAGAAGCTATCCAGCAGCAGCTTTTACTAACTTGAACTGCTTGTTGTTAGGGCAGATAATTTTTACCGAATACATTTTTAGTAAAGTACTCAAAGAAACCCCTTTTAATAGTTTTAAAAGAGAGTTCCAAACTGGGAAGATTTTGAGTTACTCATTCATACAGCTTAAGAGAAAAAAACTGACACTACATCAAGAAGGATGGGAAAAGAAAGTGTTGGGAATTTACAAATTTCATTGTTTAACTTCTAAACAAGACTGGTTCTTTAGCCAAAGAAAGGAAAAAAATCATGGTTAACTAAAAGGGAAAAGTTCTAGCACAAAACAAAGACAAGCCCCTACTTTAAGAGCTGAGGAAGTCTTCCATTTTATTCCAAATAGAAAAAAAATACTAATATTTTTCTTACATTTTATAAGATCTTGTTCTGAAGCAGAGTACTACAGTATAAACACATAATGCACTTTTATTTCTGTATTCCAATCCATTTTCTATCAAAAAGCTATATTATGTTAGGATATCCACAACAAGATATGGGTACACCGCAGAAAGCAGGTATGCCACAGTGCTTTAAGTAATCTCTAGATACCAGCTTCAAGTGCAGAAATGCAGAAATGATGCCTCTACCTCCGTTTCTCATTGGTAAGTCTGCCACACTTCACTCACAAAGGCTTGTTAGTGAAAAACAGAATGAACAATTAAGATGGAACTTCCTAGCACTTATCTTTAAAACAGGCATTTATTGGAATGCAGCAGGTGTGACATTCCTTCAGAGAATTAGCAAGACCCATGGCTATATGAAATATAAGTCCTGCCACAAATTATTAGGTAACTATCTATGATATTGACATATGAGCAATACAGCTTTAGATAAATGAAGTTCTCTAGTCTCACAAAAATTCAAGGTGTATACAACTAACATTCAATTCCCACATACCTTTCCACAAAAATTATAAATGCACAAGCCTCCACAGCAAGCATATTCCAGCCAGGAAAAAAAATGACTATACATAATTTCTTTCTAATGAATACCGTATTTTTCGCACCATAGGACGCACCGGACAATAGGACGCACCTTGTTTTAGAGGGGGGAGAACAAGGGAAAAAAATTCTTCCGCTCTCTGCCCAGCGCCCCTTCAGTGAAGCGGCAGGAGGCGCTGCGCAGAGAGTGGGAGAATTTCCCCCCTCTTGTTTTCCTCCTCTAAAACAAGGTGCCGTTTAAGGTGCGTTCAGGCGGCTACCTTGGAAGCCTGGTGCGCACCGACCCCTCTCGCTCTCCAGGCTTCAGGTTCCTTTCGACCTGCTCTTTGGGGCTGGCGGGGGGAAGCCCACCACCAGCCCCAAAGAGCAGGTCAGGGAGCAGCGGAAAGGCGCAGCAGAGAGGCTGCTACCATAGGCGCGCGTCACCTCTCCAGCCGGGAGAGGGTCGCGGGGGGCTGCTTTAGCCCCGCGCGCGCTCTCCCAGCTGGAGAAGTGACGCGCGCCTATGGAGGCTCCTGCCATAGGCGTGCGTCACCTCTCCAGCCGGGAGAGGGTCGCGGGGGGCTGCTTTAGCCCCGCGCGCGCTCTCCCAGCTGGAGAAGTGACGCGCGCCTATGGAGGCTCCTGCCATAGGCGCGCGTCACTTCTCCAGCCGGGAAAGGGTCGCGGGGGGCTGCCCTAGCCCCGCGCGCGCTCTCCCAGCTGGAGAGGTGACGCGCGCCTATGGAGGCTCCTGCCATAGGGGCGCGTCACTTCTCCAGCCGGGAGAGGGTCGCGGGGGGCTGGTTTAGCCCCGCGCGCGCTCTCCCAGCTGGAGAGGTGACGCGCGCCTATGGAGGCTCCTGCCATAGGCGTGCGTCACCTCTCCAGCCGGGAGAGGGTCGCGGGGGGCTGCTTTAGCCCCGCGCGCGCTCTCCCAGCTGGAGAAGTGACGCGCGCCTATGGAGGCTCCTGCCATAGGCGCGCGTCACTTCTCCAGCCGGGAAAGGGTCGCGGGGGGCTGCCCTAGCCCCGCGCGCGCTCTCCCAGCTGGAGAGGTGACGCGCGCCTATGGAGGCTCCTGCCATAGGCGCGCGTCACTTCTCCAGCCGGGAGAGGGTCGCGGGGGGCTGGTTTAGCCCCGCGCGCGCTCTCCCAGCTGGAGAGGTGACGCGCGCCTATGGAGGCTCCTGCCATAGGCGCGCGTCACTTCTCCAGCCGGGAGAGGGTCGCGGGGGGCTGGTTTAGCCCCGCGCGCGCTCTCCCAGCTGGAGAGGTGACGCGCGCCTATGGAGGCTCCTGCCATAGGCGCGCGTCACTTCTCCAGTCGGGAGAGGGTCGCGGGGGGCTGCTTTAGCCCCGCGCGCGCTCTCCCAGCTGGAGAGGTGACGCGCGCCTATGGAGGCTCCTGCCATAGGCGCGCGTCACTTCTCCAGCCGGGAGAGGGTCGCGGGGGGCTGCTTTAGCCCCGCGCGCGCTCTCCCAGCTGGAGAGGTGACGCGCGCCTATGGAGGCTCCTGCCATAGGCGCGCGTCACTTCTCCAGCTGGGAGAGGGTCGCGGGGGGCTGGTTTAGCCCCGCGTGCGGTCTCCCAGCTGGAGAGGTGACGCGCGCCTATGGAGGCTCCTGCCATAGGCGCGCGTCACTTCTCCAGCCGGGAGAGGGTCGCGGGGGGCTGCTTTAGCCCCGCGTGCAGTCTCCCAGCTGGAGAGGTGACGCGCGCCTATGGAGGCTCCTGCCATAGGCGTGCGTCACCTCTCCAGCCAGGAGAGGGTCGCGGGGGGCTGCTTTAGCCCCGCGCGCGCTCTCCCAGCTGGAGAAGTGACGCGCGCCTATGGAGGCTCCTGCCATAGGCGCGCGTCACTTCTCCAGCCGGGAGAGGGTCGCGGGGGGCTGCTTTAGCCCTGCGCGTGCTCTCCCGGCTGGAGAGGTGACACGAGGCTATAGAGGCTCCTGCCATAGCCCCGCATTACCTCTCCAGCAGGGAGAGGGTCGCAGGGCTATGGCGTCTTCGCTCCATAGGACGCACACACATTTTCCCTTCATTTTTGAAGGGGGAAAAGTGTGTCCTATAGAGCGAAAAATACGGTAGCTGGATTCATGCAAAATAAATAAATAAATGAGGTTGATATTTTAATTGTTGTATTTTGTATATTTCTATTTTTGTAAGCTGCTTTGAGACCTAGATGGTGAAAAGCAGGATACAGGTTTTTAAAGTAAGTAAATAACTGTCACAAGCAGTAGTGGCTCAGGGCCACTCCACACATTTTATTATGTCTATATATAATTTATGTACCAAACGCATGTTGTATGAGAAACAAGAACTGGCAGTAACACCCCTCCACATTCGGCAAAATCAAATGTGAGTAGTAGTGGGAATGCATCCTACACTCCGGAGGCAAACACTCCTTAATATCTTCCAGCTCAGTTTATGGCTGTCTCTTGAACTGATCAGGGCAGGGCCCAAAATAAACAACCACCCGCCTCACAACTACAATGTGAGGATTGATGCACCTGTAATGCATCGTTTTACACTGCTGTGTTAACTAATAGCTCTAGGGGCCAGTAGCAGTTACACTTTTTGTGGACTTTTTTGGGCTGCTTCCCTTAGAACCTCTCCACTTCCAGAGTATGGGTGGATAGTGACTGCCCAAATGTCCATTTTTTTTTTTTGACTTTACATTTAGGAAAAGTTGCTGACAAAACCAAGGAGTCCTGGTTTAATTCCTCTGAACACAGATGAAGGCCTCATTTCTTTTATCTCAATTCAAAACAACAAAACAAAATAGAAACTGCTCCAGACATTTGGTCCAGTTCCCTCCTCCCTTGATAGGCATAATTTTGAGTGACTTACCAGGTGTCCTCTTCATCGTCAGCATTCTCAAGTTCTAACAGCTCCACTTCATCCAGAGTTGTCTCGTTAAAGAGGTGTTCTACTTCTGCATCCCCTTCGCTCTTTCTCAGTGCTGGCTCAATACCTGTGATGAAGTCTTCTACTAGCACTGTGCTGCCACCATTCCAACTAGACAAGTCATTGGTATTAGCATCACTGTTCTGCATTTCTGTATTGCTCACAAACTTTGTGTTAGGAGGCTGTTCCCCACAACCACTGGTACAGTTGTTCTGTTCTGTGGCCTCTACATCCTTTTGCAAGATGTCATCAGTCTCCTCTGCTTCTGAACTCATTTTACTCAGTGCAGAGTGTAAGTCTGCCACTATCTGCAATTCCTGTTTATCCATCAGAGTGTTGATGCTATTATTCATTTCCATCCCATTGAGCCTGGAATTGCAATTATCCACTCTAGCGGCAGCTTGGCTCAGCAGTTTTGCCTCTGGCACACTTTGAAGGCTTCTAGTTCTCAACTGCTCATTCTGGAGCTCAAGTCTCCTCACAAGTTCTTGTAATTTCCGCACCTCTTCCAGCTCAGGGCCCACTTGATCATCCACTGGTTCAGTATCGGGACCCATCACAGAGTTCTCTGCTGAGCCCCGGCTGAGTTCAGTTCCAAGACTATGGTCTGGCTGAATTATAGGGGCACTCCCAGGGACAACCATCTTCATGGAACCCCTGAGGAGACTTGCTAGAAAAAGATACTATAGAAGATACCTGTTAAAAAAATAAAGTAAACATACCAGTTCTTTTAACAATTGAATGTCTTCAGGGTAATGGTACAGAGCCAAGCCTTAATAAAATTTGAAGGCACTTATCCGCAAGGGTAGTGCATGTTACTTACAATGGACATGTTGACATGAACTAAATTTGCCCAGCAGCAGCCATAATCACTACCATGGGAAAGGCAACTCATTGTTGTTCATGGTGTAAGCAGATATCCATAATGAACACATACAAAATAAGTAGAGTACTCTATAATCTTCCCAACTTCACATGGAGCTGCCAAGGCAAATGTGGTTTCAGGAAGACAGCTTTAGATCTGTGAGGTCAATTTGGAAAGGACATGACCAACTCAAACTTGCAAAATTCTTCTGAGCTAGCAAAAAAGAACCACATACAACAGTTACCTAAGTCTGTGCCAAATGATAGATTCGGAGACAAACTACCATGGAATTGATATTTCAAGTATAACTTGAATTACTGCCAGCCAGCATTAAATTTCAAGTGTTTAGGATTTTGTAACCTAGCTTTTTCAATGGGGAGAAAAAAGACTGAATGATATGGAAAGTCTTGTTAAATATCTGAAACACTGATATTAGAGGGAAGTTTCTATATTGTGAAGCTGCATTACCATGTTCAGTAGATAAATTCTGCAATTAACTGACAGCTTGGTTACATACATTGTGCATGCACAAAAATAGGAAAATTACTTATTGAAGGCAAGAAACAAAGCAAGCCAGTAGCTAATTTCGGATCATGAAAATGCAGGAAAGGAAATTGCTTCTTTCCCAATTGTTTACATTGGAGCAGTAAACCATAAACTTATTTCTGCAGGTTTTGGTAACAAGTGATCATACAGTGAAAAAGAATGAAGGACACTAGCAGTTTACTTAAAACTAGATGCATGGCACTGCCCATAAGTGACTTTTTACTATACTTTCCCCACTCCAGCAATTTGGCCTGACAAAAGCCAGTGAACTTGGGCTTCTGTTTACATAGTATGTATGTTTTTGGAAAAACAATTATACACACATACACCTTTTTTGGCTCAGTACTTTACTTCAAACTGAGTGGTTATGTTGACACATGGAAGGGTGTGTACAGAACCACCTTGTCAATTAACTTTAAAGTGCACGAGACACACATAAAAGTACAGAGTGATGCCAATAAGTATGCACTAAGTCTTTCATTTAAGTCATACCCAATTACAGATGAGCACAAAAAAGGAAGCAATGAAAAAACTCAAGGTGACAGCTCAAGACTCTCTGGGCTCTATTATTAATGTGGTACATGGGACTTATTAGTAAGGGTGTTATAGAAACCTATCAAGTCTTAAAGTGAACAGGTTTCTCTGCTCACATTTACAACTCTTGGGAAGCAAAACAGATGTCAAAGCCCCTAAAGCAGGGGTCAGCAAACTTTTTCAGCAGGGGGCCGGTCCACTGTCCCTCAGACCTTGTGGGAGGCCAGACTATATTTTGAAGGGAAAAAATGAACAAATTCCTATGCCCCACAAATAACCCAGAGATGCACTTTAATTTAAAAAGACACATTCTACTTATGTAAAAACATGCTGATTCCTGGATCATCCGCAGGCCAGATTTAGAAGGCGATTGGGCCGAATCTGGCCCCCGGGCCTTAGTTTGCCTACCCATGCCCTAAAGGAACCATCATATAAAAACTGTGTAATTTCCAATTAAATACTTTATCTGTAGGGGAGAAATAACTGCCCCAATTCTGAGCCTAAAACACCCTCTCATAAAATTGAATTTACTATAAAGCCAGCTAACTGGCCTATAATTTTCTGAATTCCTCCCTAATCCCTTTTTAAAAAATAATATTATACTAATCACTTTCCAGTCCTCAGGTATGGAAGCTGATCTTGGGGACATACTACACATATTTGATAGAATATCAGCAATTTCACATTTGAGTTCTTTAAGAAGTCTGAGGTGGATGAAATCTGAACTCAAGTCAGTTTTTGTTTTGTCAATAAGACCTAGAATTTTGTCTCTTGTATCCACCATTTGCTTCAGTTCCTCAATTTTTTCCTGTGAAACTTAGTTCAGATATAGGGATCTGCCCTACATCTTCTACAATCCACAGTGAAGGCAGGTGGAAATAATTCATTCAGCTTCTGTGCAATCTTTCTTTGTTTAGCATACTTGCGACTCCAACTGCCTCTCCAGTCAGCTTGCTTTTACTAATGTATTTAAAGATTTGCTTTTAATCTTTGTGTATTCTGCAATGAGCATTTCGAATTCTTTTTTATCATCCCTTGTCATCTGCTTGTGTTTCTTTTCCCAAAGCTTGTGTTCATTTTTATTCTCTTCTATGGACAGTTCCATTTTCTAAAGAAAGCCTTTTTACCCGTAATATATTCCTTGATTTTGCTTTTAACCACACTGGAATCCTCTTGGCTTCAGTCCTACCTTCCCTAATCTGCAGTATATATTCTTCTCATGTTTCTATTACTGTGGTTTTGAATAACTCCCATGCATTCTGGGGAGACCTGACTTTCTTTATTTTCTCATTCAAATAATCTTTCCCTCTTATGTTTGTGTCCAGTCTTAGACCAGAAATGAGCCTACTGTATATCATACAAAACTGAAGGAAAGCCACATGTAGTGATGTTACGTTTTCTTTTTAAAAAAAGAGTTCTGTTAAAGTATAATTATCAATGTTTCCCAGCCACTATTTTTAGCCCTATTTCAAGCAGGCTGCTGCAATTAAGCAGAAAGTGGCAACCATTATCTCTAAACTACCCATGAGATCAACTGAAGCTCCAAGCATCCATCTCCTTCTCTCTCTTTTTTCCAAGAGAACAGTCAAGTTGTTACCAGCGTAAGTGTCAGAGCAAAGCAGAGCAAAAGCATCACCTTGGTCGGGATAGATGATCTTACAGAATGACAGAGGCGTTGCATGAAGCCCTGAGGAGTGAAAGATACACACAACCAGGAAAAGAAAGAACAAATCAATTGCCAGAAGAAGCAGGATCTGGGTCAAACAACAGAAGCACTTAATGTCTAAGAAGGGCCTCTCCACTTGTGAATGGAGGCTGGTGCCCCCTGCCCTAAAAATGGGGTTCCTTTCTAAGAGAACAGGAGGGGCAGATAGATGAACAAAAACATAATCTCCCTTTCTCCAAGCCCTTAAAAAAGAAAGGTGTGACTCTCCTCAGGAGAAAGAATTGGGGCAAAAAAGCTGTGGGGGGGGGAGTTTCCCCCTTTTCCCATAACCCCATGAAGACAGCCACCGCCAGAAGAAACAGATAGGTGGGTGCCTTCCCCCTCCAGTTTTTTCAATAAAATTATTTTGTATCATCATCATCATCATCATCATTTAATTTATTTAAAGGATGACCGGGAAGGGTGGGTGAGGAGAGCAGCAGTTGCTGAGCAGGCAGGGAAGGTTTTGTATTAGCAGCAGCAGCAGCAACACCACACACAATATGCACATCCTTCACACACGGAAATTTAACCAAAGGTGAAGAGGAGAGAGGGAGGGAGGGAACCCGCCATGGGACTTAAACACTCCTCCCCACACATTTCCTCAGGCAATTGAGTCAGGTCTCCCCCCGCCCCTTCCATACCTGCTCCTCACCGGAGAAGACCCTCCGATACCTGCTCCTCACCGGATCCTCCGCTCAAGGGAGGGGGGGGTCCGAGGGGATCGTCCTCTCAAGGGAGATGTGGTAGGTGGGAGGGAAGGGAAGGGACATAGGGCAGGAGGGATGGAGGAGGCGCCGGGGACCCGAACTGAGCCACGAAGGATGCAGGAAAGAGAGCGAGGAGGCAGAGACTAGAGAGCGAGAGAGGCCCGGCTCCGCTGCCCATCGCTTCAGGGGAAATGAAGGCGGGGGGGGGGGTTCTGCCGACCAACCGTTGCCAGACCCTTATCATCGCCGCCGCCGCCTCCTCCTCCACCACCCGCCACATCCCCGAGGGCGCGCTCATTACCTGCCACACACACACACCACGCGCGCGCGCGCCTCTTCTCTCTCCTTCCAGCGGCGACCGTTTGCCGCCGCTGCTACTGCTTTATGTTTTTTTCTTTCTTTTTTTCTCTCGTTTCGTCCTCTGGTGGCTGATTGGCTACGTTCGCAGCCTCATTTGCATATCTACGGTACGGCCGGCCGAGCGAAAGCGAATCAGGAGGGAGGGAAGCGGAGTTAGGGGCGGGATGGAAGCGTTTTGTGTGTGAGAGAGAGAGATAGAGACAAGGGACAGCGCTCAGAGAAAGTCCCGCCCACCTCCGGCTTTTTGAAGCCTCCTGACACCGCGCGTGTCCTAAAGGTGTATATCTTCTTTTACGCCTGCGCGTTGATAGCTGCAAGGAGATATAGGGGCAAAAAAAAGGTGGCTTAGTTGAGGCAAGGCAAGGAGTTTGCTTTGCTGGGCGGGAGGTGCTAGGTAGATTGTGGCTGATGCGTTAGAGGTGAACGCGGGGTCGGAGGACGACGACGGGGACGTGCCCTGCCAATATCGGTGTGCGCTCGCAGCCTCATGCCGCATCTGCGCTACACATTTAATTATTTTATTATTACTACTGTTTATTGTGATGAGCGGAAGCAGAGCAGAGCAAACCCTGATGGCCACGGAGCGCAAAAGGTGTTGAAAAGCAAACTTTTTGGAGTTTCTGGTCCATAGCCTCTCCTCCTGGCTTTGGAGGCGCTAATACATCTCTTTGCCAAGTGTGCAAGGGAGCCAAGGTACCGCTCTGTAGATCCCACAATGCTCAAAGTGGCACTACATTAGGGATGCTCTGAGAAATTTAAATGGTGGCTGGATCCAGCCTTCTTGTGGCCCATGGCAGGCATCAGCAGTTTGCTCTACCAGGACACTTGCCGCTACCATGGACATAGCCAGGATTTTTGTTGCGGGGGGGGCAGGACTTGGTTTGGGGGGCAGAACCAACATGATTGGTCAGTTAAGTATTTCTATTGTTTTATTTGATCTGGGGGGGGGGGCAGCTGTGCCCATGGTAACTAACCAAGGATGCCAGGTGCTAAGGCCTGCTCCGTGGTAGAGCATCTGCTTTGCATGTAGAAGACTCCAGGTTCAAACCCCAGCATCTCTAGGGAGGGCTCAAAGAGACCCATCTGAAATCTTGTGAAGTGATACTGGCAATACTGAGCTAGATGCCGTTCTGCCTGTGCTAACTGTTTTCATTATTCCAAAGTCTTATTCCGTTTGCCATCAAGATGCATGCCACTTGAATCGGTTGCTCTTTTGCGTGACATAGCAGGGTGGGTTGGAAAGGAGAAGACTCACAGATGAGCTAGTCTGCACTGAAAAATAGGTGACACAATCTCTCCCTAAAAGAGCACATAGAATCATTGAGTTGGAAGATACCCTGAGGGTAATCTAGTCCAACCCCCCCTGCAATGCAGGCATCTCAACTAAAGTGTCCCTGACAGATCACCATTCCCCCTTTGCTTAAATACCTATAAGGAAAGAGAGCATGGGCACAGCCAGTTTGGGGGGGGCAGGACTTTCGTTAGGGGAATAGAACCAATGTGATTGGTCAGTTAGTTAAGTATTTCTATTGTTTTACTTGATGGGGGCAGCTGCCCCCTTGCCCCCCAAGCTACATCCATGAAAGAGAGTCCACTACCTCCCGAGGGAGACCGTTCCACTGTCTAAACAGCTGTTACTGTCAGAAAGCCCTTAAGATATTTGAAGATGGCTCAGTATAAAGCAGTATAATATTGACTCAGTATAAGACAGTTTCCTGTGTTCCTATTCTGGCCACCCTCTTGAGTGCCAGCTTTAAAAGGGGTTAAGGCAAAATCCTGGAGAATAAAGTTATCAGTGGTTACTAGCCATGACAGATATATGATACTTCTAAGTTGCTGGAGGTCACAAGCAGGAGAGGGCTACTGCAGCTGTTTTCCCTCCTACCATTAGGGTCCAGACCAGGATTTTCATACCAGGAAGCTGACCATCCTTGCAATCTATTCATAAGTAGACTAAAAGTATCGTAGTTAATAGGTCAAGCTGTTCAGTTTTAAATCCACAGTGCTCTGATTTATTGCGTACTGTATTCTATTTTGCCCTTTTACTTGCTTTCCCCCTACTTTTTAAGAGACCAGCACATCCTTCTGAGATCTGGGAAGAGACTTGAGGTGTGTGGGCTGCTGCCTTTACTTAATTTATAAGAGAACCATCTGGGAAAAACAGGATGTGCTGGTCTCAATCCCTGGGTTTTCGGATGTTTGGAAGAATGCAAGCTGCTTTGATCTCCAAGTGGGATAAAAACAGCTGGAAACTACCCCTGCCTGCCCCCAAGCAGTTTGTGTGTAGGTTGAATCAAAGTGTACAGGGTGAACTCCTCAGCAATTTGTTAAATTAATTGATTTGGTGCATCCCCAGTTTCCCCCCTTTGGTTCTGGGGCTGTAGGTGACCAAAAGAAAAAGTGGGTGGCAACATCTACCAGAGTATGATTCAACTGACAGTACTGCAGGGCTGTTGTGTTGCGGCTGGGCAAGTAAGCCCCAGCCAGTTTAGCCAGTGGTCAGGCATGTTGCAGCTTGTAGTCTAAAACATCTGGAGTGCACCATCTTGGCTCCTCCTAGTCTAGATTTACTGGCAGTAGAAACTGCAGGAGGGTAGAGAGCTGTTGCACTCGTGTCCTGCTTGTGGGCTTTTCAAAGGTATCTGGTGTTGACTGCTGTGAGAACAGGTTGCTAGACTAGATGGGTCTTTGGTCTGATCCAGCAGGCTTTGTGTTATTATGCTCTGCGGGGTTCCAGGCATGAGTCTCTCCCAGCCCTGCTTGGAGATGCCAGGGACTAAACCTGGGACTTCTTGCATGCAAGCCAGGTGCTCTATCACTGAACTATGCCCTGTTTCCCATCTTGTGGCCTAAGTGAATCATGTGTTGTGCAAAGGACTCCCCCCATTCCTAAATCTAGGACTAATCAATTAATGGCAAAGGGAGACAGATAGAGACAATGGTGTGAGACATAAATCTACCATCTTTCTCCATTTTGTGCAGTTTTGCAAATTTCCCTTAGCTGCCACATCTTTAAAATAACACATTTCCAGAGTTCTCAGGAGCTACAAGAATGAGAAATGTGCTTTTCCTCTGGAAACCAATAGTGTCCTCTGTCCCACAGTGTGAACTTTTTAGATCAGTGCACTTTAATCTTGGGTCTCAGTCCAGATGTTGTAACTCCTATCAGTCTCAGCCAGCTTAGCCAAAAGTAGTGGGTGGTGGGAGTTATAGACCAACAAAATCTGGGGACCGAAGGTTGATGATGAATGCTGTGTAGGAGCTTTTTGGCTCTGGAACACCAGGAAATATATCACACAGACAATTAAGAACTCAAGTCAGCTTTCTGCACATAATATTTATTAGAAGAACTGTTATGTAGAGATTAAACTTTTGGTTCAAAGAAAATAGGTTGGCAAGGACAACGAAGCAAAACATCTATATGACCTATATCTCCCTTCCCAAAGCAGCTTGCAGCGGTACGTGTCATTGAGGAAATAAAGCAAACAGTTAAACAGCTTCTGAAATCTTGCTTGTTGCTTGATAAAAATGTGTGCTCTAAAGCCTGCAGAAAAAGAAGTCAGCCTAGAAGTTAAATATTGACCATGGACTTCTAACAAAAGATCTTGCCCAAGTCACAAGGTTTTATTGCATGCTTGTGTACTAAGAATTGGTAATTTTCAGGAGCAGCAGGTATTTTAACTGGAGGCATATCTTTAAAACATATGAGGGGCATGTAAAGGAAAAATCTAATGTCTTGAAACTTGAACATGAAAGGTTTGATGAATACAGCAATTCACCATGCAAAGGTTTGCTGAAAACTCTGCAAGAGTTTTGCCTTAAATTTCTGCAAGAGTTAAGTAGCTATAGCCTGAGGCTCAAAATCAAGAGAAAAAAAGTAGTTTAGGAGAAAAGGTCGTAAACATTTACCTGTGCTCCACGCTTTCCGAACACAGGTCTGGGTTTTCCAGCTCTGTGTCAAAGCAGTTATGTTTTTGTTTTGTCCCAATGCTTTCCCCAGGAAAATGTGTGTTTTACTACTGAATTAGAGCAAACAGCAATCTGGAAAATCTGATTGCCAGGTTTTCCTGGGGAAAGTGCCGGGAGGAAATAAATTACCTGGACCTGGAAAGACCAGACCTGTGCCTAGAAATGAGGCACAAAAGGGAGTGTGGATGAGCCCCAGCATATTTGCTTCATAATGTTGTAATGAGCCAGCCAAAACACCCTGGTGCTTGACAGTACTTTTGGGCAGAGGTAGAAGGTCTCACTCAGCAGGGAAAATGACCAACCACTCTCTGAAGTGAAGGAACAGACATTACCATCTAAAAAGCCCCCCATGAGAAGACTATTAAGTCTAGAGTCTAAAACAGTCACCACTATTTTTAGGTGCTGTAATAAGTTTAATATCTTGAGTTAAGATGGGTGGTCTTATTAATTAGCAGCCACAACAAACATTAATATTCTACTGGAGGCCTCTCAACCAGGCAGGCACACACCCCTCACACTATTCTCCAACTCCTACCCCAATGTCTCTTGTAAAATAAAAATAAAAATCCACATTACTATATGGATTTTTTTAGTAACTGCCATGAATGACACCCATTCTGGTCTGTTTATCCCCAAATATCAACAATCTTCTCACTTCCTCCTTCAATTCTACGTACTTTCAGAGAGAGAGAAAGACAACCACCCACACTACTTCATGATGATGGAGGCAGTGAGTGGGGACCTTAAGAGTCCTTGTGGGCCCAGGTGAATCAAAGGCACTTTCACATCCAAAAACAACACTTCAGTGACCCTGGTCTAAAATTACCTAACTATACCACTGCATCTCCCAATACTTCACAAGTCAAATAAGGACACTCATGTGGACACAACCCTATTCTCACACCAAAAATGACACAAGGGAACGCCTTTCATGCAGTCACTATTATGCACTATTGTGTAGGCCTGCCAGCTGTACATCTGTATGCATTTACCCTGTGAATAACCTGTTGAGCAGTTTGTATTTAAAAAAGAAGAAAAAGCTTAAGAATATTCAAACCCACAACAGAACTGAGGGCATTTACAGATTAGCTACAATGCAACTCAAACACATTCAGCAACATTTCCAGACAAGCAATTTTGGTGGAATGGAAGAAAAGCTACTGGATATATGAAGCTGTCCTATAATGAATGGGGACATGGGTCCTCTTAGTTCAGTAAATATCTGTGTTGCATGACAGTATTTGTCCAGGATCTTGGGATATGTTATCAATCACCTGCTGTTCATGATCCTTTAAAAACAAAACACCTGGAAATGACAGAGTTCAACGTTATGCATATAAGGCATGTTTGAACTGAGCTACACCCATTCCGTATGTGCCAAGGGTGGCCAGTTCCACATAGCTCCAAAAGAGGAAACGCATTGTATGTGCACAAAAAGAACAAGTCACAGATTTGCATACAATTTGCACATGCTCATTTGTATGTCTAGCTAGAAATTTATAAAGAATTAATATAATAGAAATATTATAGCCTATTGGGGTAGACGGTGTGACCTGTGCCTGCTCAGTTCTGCTGTCAAGGTGCTGTTGATGGGCTACTTCAAGGTTTCTGCAGATCTGCCTTCTTATAGTACTTTTCCTTTAAGCTTGGATCAGACAGTCCTTCAAACAGAAAGTTGCATTCTTGGACATATGGCCACCCTCCCAGGTGTGCACGTCTCCATGTTGATTTTGTTTAAAAGCACCCCAAAATCAAAACAGAGGATGTTTTCAGACTGTCACTATTTTCAGGTGGAATTCAATCACATATCAGCAAATTCAGGCAGCACAATTAAATATGATTCAGCTCTCTCGTGCAACAAACTTGCTTCCTATCCTCCACCCCCCCCAAAAAATAACCTGCCCCCCCCGTACTGATTGGAAAATGCATTGGAACATGCAGAATGACAATTGCCTGGTGTAACATTGTATAACTTAGCCACCAGAGACAGGATTTTTAAAGAGATTAATACCAGAAAATAAGAGCTGTCTCTGGAAGATAGGGACAATGTCTCCCCCTCTGCATCTCATTCAGTTTAGCACTTGGACGAGTTTATCAGAATGAAATGTGTCCCAACAAATCTTCTCAAAGACAAATGATCTGGAGGTGCTCAGCAGTTTATAATTTCCCAACACTCTTTTCTCTGACTGGTGACACTGGCTTTTTGTTCCTATTTTGGACCTGCCTGCCTGCCTGTTACTGGGTAGTAAAGTTAAATGAGTGAGTGTGAATTGCTTTCCCTAGGAAAAGGTGGCTAAAGAAGAGTAACGTAAGAGCAGAGGAAGAACAGATGTTCGCTGGTCAGAAGGCAGTCAAATCATCCTGGCCCACGTGGGCTACGGTCTTCTCTTGGGTTAGGCTCTTCTGGCCGATGGAAATCTAAGAGAAAATTGGAGAATGAATGGACGATAATGAACTGGTTAGGCAATATACACAGCAAAGCAGTGGCACTCTGCAAAAGAAGAAGAAGAAGAAGAAGAAGAAGAAGAAGAAGAAGAAGAAGAAGAAGAAGAAGAAGAAGAAGAAGCAGCAGCAGCAGCAGCAGCAGCAGCAAGTGGTGCAAAACAGCACAGTGACAATATACCACCGCATACAGGCAACTACTGCAAAATTGAGCTGCTGCTGCTGCTGCCAGTCAATAGCCAAAGATGGGGGCAGACTGACAACCATATTGGCTGCTACAACAGAGCAGCCATAGGAATGAGGGAAGCTGCCTTATCCTGAGTTAGACAGTTAGTCCATCTAACTCAGGCCTCATCCACACTTCCTCTTCTCCCACTGCTTTCCCCCAGGGAAAACAGCTTTTTAGCGTTTAGCTGGATCAAATTGACGTTTACTCTGATTCAGCACTACAGAGTGAGTTTTCCCTGGGGAAGGAGTAGGGCAATGCTTTTTCAGGCATGTAAGAAGTGGAAGCATGGCTGAGCTCTCAGTATTGTCCCCCTTGGCTAGCAATGGCTTTCCAAGGTTTCAGGCAGGGAGACATTCCCAGCCCTACCTAGAGATGCTGAGGATTGAACCTGGACCTTCTAACTGCAAAGTGAGCTACCAGTGAGCTATGGCCCTACCTCCTGGAGGAGATATTAGCAGGGCAGACAAAGACTGGCGAAACCAGGGTTCAAATCCTTCCACTCAGCCATGGAGCTTACTGGGTGACTATGGCCCAGTTACATACACTCAGCCTAATTCACCTCACCTGAGGATAAAATGGGCAAGAGAGAAAAGGAGCACGTATACTATGATGATTTCCCTGGAGGAAAGGGACTAGTAATAAGTAGTTTATGTGATCCAGATCCAGCTACATTATGAATCGCAGCCACACTGTGCCTGCATCATCGGTGCCAAGCATATTATTAGTACATAATTACAGCAGTTACAATGACGACGACAAAACATATCATTAGCATTCCTGGAATGCCTTAACAGTGTTGAAAGTATCTCACATTCCTTACCTGTAACATCCAACAATGCAGGACATTATTATCCCTATGTTGCTGATGTCAGGGACAGGGAATGTATCCAATGTTAATCATACTAAGAGTAGGCCCATTGAAATGAATGGCTATGTCTGACTTAGGTCCATTAACTTCACAAAGCCATTCCCAAGTAAAACAACCCACTGAATTTAAAGTTAAGCTGAGGCGAAAAGAGAAAAGAAAAGAAAATTCCCATTCCCGCACCCACCTCACAAAAAAGAATAAAATTCTGCCATTTTTACTCCATTTTTTAAAACGTGTGTGTGTTTTGGCTGCCATTTAATTCCCACAATGCTTCAAAATGCAGCTAAAGCCAGGGGCACTGTGAAGGGTGCAAAATGGTGACCTGACTGCCAATACAGTTGATCCTGCTGCTGCTAAGCCATGGGTGTGTGTTTGCAGGAGGGAGAAGCTGTGCTATTGCTACCACTTACAGTGAGGTCTGCTCTGTAAGAAACTGTTGGAGAATTTACTGTATCCTGGGGGGTGATTGGTTTTTGTTTTGTTTTGTTTTGTTTTTGGGTTTTTTTTTTTTTTGCAGGGTGGGATGTATCCTCCCTGCAAATTTCAAAAAAAAAAACTTTGAATAAAAAGGAGAAGGGAAAGAAACCGTTGGACAATTTTTCCTTCCCCTAATGAAATTCAGTGAAATGTCCCCTAAATTACTCTGCCTGTAGATAGGGTGGAAAATTCCAATATAGACCACGTGTGAACAGCACTAGTTAAAAGTTATAGATAGGTAGATATAATCAGCACTATTTCTGTTTCGGTATTTAGCCTCTGCCTCAGTGTTTTTTCAACCATGGGTCTCATTCCAGATGCTCCAACTCCTATCGGCCCCAGCCAGATTAGCCAATGGAAAGGGATGATGGGAGTTATAGTCCAACATTATCAAGGGAACCAAGGTTGAAGATCAATGCTGTATACTATACTACTGTATTTCCCTCCTCCTGTCCTCTACCTCTCCATCCCATTTTAATGCTCAGAAGAAAGGACCCACTCACTTAGAAGAGCCTCTCGTAGCACTTATCACAGTGGACAATGTCCCGGTGAATGAAGATTTTATCCAGGAGATCTCCCATTGGCTTGTGACAAATCCCACACTGTGGAGAGAGAAAGAAGAAATAGCTGCAATTGAAATATGCCCCCAAAAAAGAAGGATCTATACAGAAGAATCCCACACTGATGGGTGGCAGGATACAAAAGAAGATATTTATTCACACATCTTGGTTGGACAGGCAGCAAGCTTATTAATATTTTCAAATATTGCACATCAGTTATACAGCCACACAAAGAACAGGTCTTGTGAAGATTCTGAAACACACCGAATGCTAAATTTCCTTGAATTACCATCTGCAGGAGGGATGGTGGAGACAGCTGGAAGATCTGCTTCCCCATCTTACACAGGAAGGTCCTCCCTTCTCTCTCCTCCACCCCGGTTGCCGAGCTTTCAACTTTCAGCTGCTCTTTCTCCTTCCTCGTCCTTCTCTTCTGTCTGGGGCTGCCAAACTGTACCAGATACTGACAGAGCCCAGGGACTCATAGCAGATAATAAATTGTGTAACCAATACCCTACTTTTGTGCCTGGTCTTGGTGTGATGAAATAAGACATCTTGATACTTGTATACTATTGTTTTCAAAGGTTTCCGATTAATAAGTGTGAGGTGGTTCCCAAATGATATAACCTCCCCATTTTCCCCCTTGCCATATAGATATGCATGACTTGTGGCAAAAAGAGGGACCTACCCGGAAGCAGTACTCATGGCAGCAGATTCTGAGGTTCTCAATAGTTATCTTAGCACAGTTGCGGATCTCACGGCCACAATAAGTGCAGATGTCTTCAGTTGGCCTGAAGTAAAGGAGGAGGAGGACTTAGGAATGCATATAAGGGGAATGGGTTAACCACCACCAACTTGCCCATCAAGTGTCACTGCTCTTGACTGAAGCCTTCCTCTTGACTGATTTAAATGAACAAAAACAAACATCAGGAGATATGATGCTCAGTTGTCCACAATGCTGTATTTTTTCTTGCCTTCCCTACACAAGGCCATGGAACTTATAGCCTCTACATCTAAACAACATCTTGCGTTTCCCCAGATTTCCTGCTTTTCCAATTTTGTGCAAAAGTTTTTTAAAAATCTAAATCTAGTGAAAGAAAGAAGGGGGAAAATGCATGAGGAAAAAAGAGGAAAATAACTTTGTGTGAGCAACCCAATAGGCTCCTTATATAAAAACCTTTTTAAAAAATTGCCCCTTAGTTCCAAAGTATGTAATGTTGTCCCTTTGTAGGAATTATCTCTTGGACATTGTAATTATTTGTTATAATGAAGCTTTCCAGGTTGACAAACGGTCCTACCTTTTCGGGGGGCTGCTATTCAGAAAGCTGGCACTGCTATAGCTTGTCCTCTCCAGTTCAGACAAATCAGCCAGGCTGCGACTGGGGGATGAAGGTAAGAATAGATCATTACATGTACAACATTACATGTACAACTTAAGGGTTAATTATTTTAGTGTTAAAGTCATCTAACCAAGAAGGGGACAGGTGGAGGTGTTACTTAGCAAGTAGGCAGAATGGCATGATATTTGCTGAGGTAGCACATGCCCTGATTGGCTGTGTAGTTCTGAGGGAGCTTTTCCTCTGTAGGCTTGGTTGAATGTCTGCCTGCTATGTACAAACCTCTCTGTTCTTTTTTCCTTAAAGTATAGCCTGTTTTCGTTCAGTTTTCCTCATTAAAGTGTGATCAAGATTTTCTCTCTCTCTGGACCCTATCTGTGTTACTCAAGTGACTTTGCAATCAAATATTGCATACAAGGAGGATCATTTAAATACACAAATATTTATAGATTGCAAGGAGCAACACTGAGAGATTATGGCAGGCTGAGAGAGGTTGCTTTTATGCTGGAGTGCCCAATGTCCTGGAGGCTTTTCCATTTTGAATTAAAATGGATATCCCACACAACCTTTATTACAATGCTATTCTACAATGTTTACTCACAAATATAGCCACCTTCAGTGAAAGGTCCCTCTAATATTAATAAAAAGGTTTCCTGTTGGAAATTCTCTGTTGACCACAGAAGAAAGATTACTAACTGCCTCATGCAATAGCCTTTCTTAATTCTTCAGTGTCCTACTATTTTAATAAATAGAAAAGAAAAGGGAACAAGAGTGGAAGTCATTATTTAAAGCTGTCCCCCTGTAGGACAGGACACTGAGCCAATTAAGAGAAGCTTTTCAAGGGTAATTCATTTCTAGTCTCCCAGCCAGGATCAATAGGATAAAGACTGGCAAACCGGGAACCTTTAATTAAAGGCAAAGGAGCCCCCTAAAGCCTCAGTAGCAACTTTTCCTGTTGACACTGGCTGGGTTAGTGCAATAAGGCTTGCATCTTATTGCACCCAAACATAAAATGTCATAAATCAGAACTGAAAAAGCACTGGTGAACAATACAGAAAGCACTGGTCTGCAAAGGCCCAACACTGATATTGTCTAGATGCTCTGCTGAAAGTGAGTGAACAAAGGATGGTAATTCCAAGGCAGGCTCTAATTTGGAAACATCCAGGGGAAGTCAGAGATATTTCTGATTTCCCACATAGATACTAGCTCTCCAAAGCAACTCTTTGCTTCATCCCATCCTATATCCATGCCTTTTCTCATCTACTACATGATCAAATTTGGGGGAGCTATCTGAGGCATCTTCTGCATGTGTGGGACCATTTTTTGGGTCATCAGAGCCAAAGTAGCCAAAGACAAACTAACAAAACGTTTTACACACAGATTTATCCATACATAAAAATGACATAGGTTTACATGCTGCAGAGGCAATCATAGATGCACCCATCCACTCCATATTTCGTTCCCTTACCTATTGTAACGTGGTGAGGATGACAACTCCGTGCTGTTGACTGATTGCTTTACGAAGAGAAGGCCTTTGCTAAAAATGGCAAGAAACAGATTTTGAACAGGTTGTTTTATACATCTGTCTATCTATCATCTGTCTATCTACGCATGCCTGGCATGCTCTGGTCCATGGGGTCACGAAGAGTCGGACACAACTAAACGACTAAACAACAATATCTATCATCTATCTATATCATCTATCATCTATCTATCATCTATCTAATCTATCATCTATATCTATCATCTATCTATCATCTGTCTATCTATCATCTATCTATCTATATTATATTATTTCTATCCATTTTTAATTGTTTTTAATGATAATTTTTTCTATGTTTTAGCAGGGGGACAGGTTCCATCTGTAAACCACCTCAAGGCGGAAGTGGAGTATAAATATTTGTAGAAGTAGAATAACAAAGTTTACTTCAGATAAGACAGTATAAGAGTCTGTGATGTATAGTGTTTCGAGCAGGCATGTCCAAAGTCCATTTTGGTGACCTAATCTAGCCTGCCGGTTGCGTTAATCCGGCCCCTGTGGTAGTATTTCTTGGGGTAAAATCCTAAAAAAAGCTCAACAACTTCCAACTTCAATCCCAAAATAAAGGTCAACAACTTCACTTCATCAAATCTGGCCCTCTTTGAAAAAAGTTTGGACGCCACTGGTTTAGAGAGTGCCAAACAAGGAGCAGGAACAGCCACATTCAGATCCCTAGCTAAGCCATGAAGGTCACTAGAGAGGTGTTCCAATGAATCCCCTCATGGTTTGAAAGCATGTGTGAAGGGCACATGAGGTTGCAATGAATAACCCTTGCCTGCCCTTGCTGATGATGCAGGCAGCAGCCTTGCTGTATGTTTGGTGGCAGTGCAAAGGGGCCATATATGGCTACCGATGAATACTACTACTACTACTACTACTACTACTACTATTACTGTTGTTAAACCTATAGCCTGCCTCTCCTCCAAGGAACTCAAGGTGGCATACATGTTTATCCCCATTTTATCCTCACAACAACCCTGTGAGCTAGGTTAGGTTGAGAGGATGTGGCTGGCTGAAGTCCACCCAGTGAGTTTCAAGGGTGAGTAGGGATTTGAACCCCGATCTCCCGGATCTCAGTCCAGTGCTCTAACCTCTGCACCACATAGACTCATGCATGCTGGACTCCTCCACAGTGCCATATTATGGCTGGTGGAGGGCTGTTTGAAGGGTGAAGATAGCCAGTGCAACCTCCTCATGAGCCCTTCTCAGGTGACTCTGGGCTAGCCATGACCTCTCTCAGGCTGGATCTAGACACATCAAAAAAGTGATTCAATTAAACACGTTGTAGACTTCATACAGGGAAATCCCATTGGTGAAAAACGGGACTCCACAGCGTTTTATCTTTACCAAAGTAGCTGAGTCCTCAGTCTAATCTACCTGACAGGGTTGTAGTGCCAAATCAGTGTAGGAGAAAGGGGAACTTGTATAATATCCTGATCTCCTTAGAACATAGAGATGAAGGCGAGATTCTGGAAGTGCCGAAATGAAGGCCACATTCTGGGAACCACTAAGCAGTTCTGTCACTGTATTAATGTCACAGGCAGTGTACAATGACTTGTGGGAGTGAGTAGCCATGAAAACTAGCTTCCTCTTGACCTCCACTTTTTACCTTGATGTGGTGGGGTCTGAGTCATAACCAGAGGCCGAAGGATTCTTAAGCCGAGAGGAAGCTGCCGCAGCCCTCTCATCTGAATTCCTGTCAAGGGAAAGGAAATTAGATAAGCAGCACATCTAATTAGATGTCAGCTCAGGGGCATGTGTTAGAGAAGGGTAGACATTCAGAGTGGCATCCTTGCTGTATCCCCTCATTGCCTGAGCAGCCATTAATGAATGTTTGGTACAAGGGCTAAGTGTAGAGATTCCAAGAAACATCAGCATCGGTCACCTCCACAACATAAATTTAAAGCACATGGCTTCCACAATTCCACAAAGAATCCTGGGAACTGTAGATACAGGGAACCTCATGGAGATACAGTTCCCAGCACTATGAACAAACTAGGGCCAAATATCTGTGCCAGCAACCATAAATTTAAAGCTTTGGCAGGTTGTTATGGGTGAATAACAACCTGTTTAACCACCTCATCTTTACCTTCTGATATCTGTGTCACAGATGTCCTTATAGAAAGGCACCCTGTGGCTCCTTGGGGAGCCAATTATTGGGCCATCTCTGAAGGGGTAGTAGGACATACTGGGAAGAAACAGATATATCAGTGTTAGCGAAACAGCAAGAAATGTAAGAACAAATGAGATGACGCCTTTTATGGGTTGTCTCTAAATAAAAGAGAGCTATCAAAGTACATGTGCATTATTAAAAACACCCATTCCTACATTTTAAAGAAATTAAGGCCCTTGTTTTGATCCATACATATACATTTTTATTCATTATGCAGATGCCCCTGTTCCTTTTGGATTAACCTTTAGTTGTTCCAGTAAAATATGCTTTGCCTTTTGCTTTGTGCTTCTAAAGCACATTAAGCTCAGTTCATGAACATGTTTCTCTGATAATAGTCACCACCAACAAAATACAGTGGTGCCTCGCAAGACGAAATTAATTCGTTCCGCGAGTTTTTTTGTCTTGCGATTTTTTCGTCTTGCGAAGCACGGTTTCGGAAAAGTTTTGGAAAAGCTTCAAAAATCACCAAAGTCTTCAAAAACCTCAAAAAAGGCTACCACACCACGTGCTATGAGTTGCTCCTCGAAGTCAAGTCGCAACTGTATTAACGGTTTTAAGAAAAAGGAAACAAACTTGCAAGACGTTTTCGTCTTGCAAAGCAAGCCCATAGGGAAATACGTCTTGCGAAGCAACTCAAAAAACCAAAAACCCTTTCGTCTTGCGAGTTTTTCGTCTGGCGAGGCATTCGTCTTGCGAGGTACCACTGTATGGCACTGCATAATGCTCCTGGAAGCCAGCCATGTCCTTTTCCAGGACACTGCTTCCCACTCCCACAATTTCCCGTTCTTACCCCCTAACAAACCAGCCAGTATTCCATGATCACTGAACATGCTAAGTCCCCATTTGCCCATTTTGGATTACCTCACCCCTACATTAGAAGATTTATTGTACTTCTATAAACCTTGATGTTCCCTCAAGCCTAGAACTAACTATGATGGCTATTATCTGCTTCCACTGTCAAAAGGCAGTGTGTTTCTGAATTCCCGTTTCTGGAAACCGCAGGAGAGGAAAGGGCTACTGCCCTCAGGCCTTGCTTGTGGGCTTCCCACGGACATCTGATGCACCAGTGTAAGACCAGAGTGGACTAGATGGGCCATTGGCTTCACCCAGCTGAGCTATTCTTACGTTCTCCGTCTTGTACACAGACTGTACCATTTTGGATGGACAAAGATGGATACTTGAAGAATGAGTTTGCTATTAGTGCATAGAATTCTGGCATGAGAAGTAACTACGTCAGCCACATATTTCAAAATGTTCTGCAGGACAAGCATGCTGCAGGGATAAGAAGAAGTTCAGCTAAACCACTGTTTTGCTCGCAGAGGGTTGAACAGGATTGCACACAAGCATGGGATCAGCAAGGTTAGGATAATGGTGATGCCTATTGCAATAATGCTATCCATGGCAACTGAGCTGATTTTTCCTCCCTACTATTCTGAAGCCATCACCACTGGTGTTCTTGCATATCCTGCCTCTATCATGTTATCTGGTTGTGATGATTCATAAGTTACTGCTTCCACTGACTTCTGAAGACTCTTTTTACTATACAGACCAGAATCCAACTGATCTGAGCCAGGTTATAAGATTCTCAGGTCCAATTCCCACACAGCTTTCACTCTACTGTTCTCTACGGATTTCTTACTTAGGTCTTTTGGACTGTTCAAAGCCTCTTTACCTTCCACTGTTGAATGCTTGGTTGTTCAGGTATGATGTTATCTCATGACTGATCTCCAACTTTCTGGCATTGGATGGCTGGTTGCTCAGATATGATGACATCCCATGCCTAGTCTCTGATCTGATGGTATTGTTGGGTTGGCAATCCAGATATGACGATCTCCTGTGACCTCTCTCCAGCACACTGGGGTTGTCCATATAGGTTGGCATCCTATGACTTGTCTCTGACATGCCCAAAGTAACCCCCCTGGAGAGACTGAAAGAAATCCTAATTGTCATCATAGCAAGATCTCTCAGAGGATGACTCTGTTGCCTATCTGCCATGATTAACTATTGGAGTTGTTAATCCATAAAACATGGAGAATCTCAGCACCATGTTTGATTTACAAGAAATAATGTTGTCTCCTCTGTCCAAAGCTGAGGGGACAGCAAGATGGTTTGCAAGTCCTGGCATATAATGGTGGATAAATTTATCCAGATGGAAAGCAGCTGGAGGAAAAGGAAGCCCACAACATCTGGTGGTGCTAACAATGTGAAATAGTTTGCAAAATTGCAAACTATTTTATTGCTGAGGAGGAGGAGGAAGAGTCAAGGACAAAGAAGGCAGCAATCCAAAGCAGAAATCAATAGATCTCACATCCAAGTGATAAAGAAGGAAGTTTTAACCAGTCTGAAAAATAAGGGAAAGTGCCAGAAAGATAAACTGCACCACCGTTTTTTTTTAAGCCACCAGATCAGCTAAATCCTATAGAAAAAATAAAACAAGTTAGTCCCAATGAATCCCCCTTGCTTTTAATGGAACTGTTGGGACTAACTTTAGCTGGATTTGGAGCTAAAGAATGATGAAGAAGAAGAAGAAGAAGAAGAGTTTGGATTTGATATCCCGCCTTTCACTCCCTTTAAGGAGTCTCAAAGCGGCTAACATTCTCCTTTCCCTTCCTCCCCCACAACAAACACTCTGTGAGGTGAGTGGGGCTGAGAGACTTCAAGGAAGCGTGACTGGCCCAAGGTCACCCAGCAGCTGCAAGTAGAGGAGTGGAGACGCGAACCCGGTTCCCCAGATTAGCAGACTACCGCTCTTAACCACTACACCACACTGGCACACTGATGAAAGCTTAATGAGAATTAAAACAAATAGCCAAAATATCAAATCTAATGAAGTTTGTTCAGTAGACATGTTTTGGTTTTTTTTCTAAACCAGATTGCCATTCTGGAATATTTGGCTATTTGAAATAAATTCAGATCAGCAGGATGCAAAGGTATACCCATGGATGCTGAAAGAACTAGATGAGGAACTTTCAGAGTTTCCAGCATCTATTTGGAGAACTCAGTGGAAGATGGATGAAAAGACTGTAGAAAGGTAAATAATGCACCATGAACATGATATTTCACATTCTAAATAAAGGCCTTGGCACAGTCCTACACAACATATGAAGAAGTTAATATCCTCCTCTCACTCTGACTGAAAATCTGACCTGTGTTTTGGTTTCTAACAGATTAACAAAACACACAATAGGTCACAATATGCTTATTGCCGGTCTGAGATTAAGTGATGTTCCGATTTCTCATTAACCTCTTCTGTCAGCATGTTTGTCAAATTAGCTAGTGCCACAAAACTGAGGACTGTAAACAATAAGAAGAATAGGATTAGGTTTAAAAACGATTGGCAGCAAAGAAGTAATATAAAATGAGAAGACCCAACTATGTAAATATGCCAGAAGAAAATAACGCAACAAGAGAAACTTCATCTCAGGAAGCACTAGAGTGCAGATAGCACAGTTTCACAGGACAGGCAAGTTGAAAAATACGTATACTACACCCAGTTTTGATTGCCGCTTTAAGAAAGGTGTAAAATTCATAACACAAACAAATTTAAATGGATTCACAAGACAGGAACAAATGAGATCAACTGCCAGAATGTTTGGGAAGGGACTCAAGAATTCAAGATTCTGAATCTAGAAAGATGAAGATTAATGATTTGCAACTTTCATATAACAAGGGGAAAAAGTGAAGCAACTGCTTTCTCTTTTGCCAAACATGGAAAAGACAAGAGGCAACTGAACTGAAGTCATAGCAGGTGAATATTTGTTTCACTGTCCTAATCATCATGACCTTGCCTGTACACTAAGATCTGCATTGAAGGCCCTACTTGTGTGCCTACTGGAATGGCTGATTAGGCTGATGTGTGCAACAGAGAGTCATGAAACTCCCTTCTGAATGACTTATGCATGCCCCCCCCTTTGGCACAGGCTTTCAAGAAGGCCCTGAAAACATCTCTCTTCGCTGCTAGAGCGGTGGAACCTTCTGCATGCAAAGCAGATGCTCTACTACCTCTTCCTGTTGCATTTCCCTGTTGTTTGTGGTGAAATAACCCATCAAATTTAACATGCCATCAGCATAAACCACAATTTTGCATGCTGACGTAACTCGTGAGAGGGTGTGCGCTGAGCACGCAATTCCTGCTTGCTGTCTTCTGTGGACGCACAGCTAGGGAAGTGTTGTGGGCTAAGTTATAAAAAGTATTCATCCTCTTAAGTGGAGAGATAAAATCTATCAGAAGCTTGCAGCAGCAGTAACAGCAGCAGCAACAACAACAATCCATTATGTACATTTACTAACTAACTGAGACTCTCACATTACCTGCCATTGCTTGGCCCCTGCCCTACTCCTATCCATTTCACAGCAGCCTCAGACAAAGAAATCAAGTAGGTGCATGTGGAACAATAAAACAATGGAGAAAGAGTTTTGTTTGCTTTGTTTTCTCATGGCAGGATGCTCTTAAAGAACAGGATAAGAGGCAGGGAAGTGGAAATGGCAACCCTACAGTGCACTGGTGGGGGGAGGGAATGATATTTTAACAACAGGGATGGGGAACCTGTGACTCTCCAAGTGTTGCTGGATTCCAACTTCCATCAGCCCCAGTCAGCATGGCCAATGACCAGGGGTGATGGGAACTGTAATCTAACAATTAGAGGGTCATAGGTTCCCTGCTGTAAGTCCTGCTGTAGTAGAAATCTAAATAATACTCAATGGTTTTAAAAGAGGTTAAGATTATTTGTACCTGCTGGCCACAATGGTGATGTTCTCCCCCCACTGCTCCTCTGAATACCAGTTGCTGGGAAGCTCAGGTGGGCAGAGTGCTATTGCACTCATATCCCACTTGCGGAATTCCCACAGGCATCTGGTTGGCCACTGTAAGAACTAGACTAGATGGGCCTTTGGCCTGATCTAACAGGGTTCACCTTGCATGCTTATTCCCTATGTTGCAGATGTGCATGCCAAGGTTAAAAGAGAAAGAGAGAGTAGCTTGCTGAAGGCCACCTAAGTCAGTTTATGGTAGAGACAAGGTTTCAACCTGGGACTCTCTATGTTTCTGATGGGAGCTGGAGTCCATTGACATCTGGAGAGCTACAGGCTCTCTGGTAATGCAGCATCTTCCCAGGCCACAGCTCAAGCATGAAACTATGAGATCAGTGAGGAATGGCAACTCTGCAGACACTGCAGCCTTCCATGTTTCCTTACCCTGATGTGTCCGAATCTGTCCCATGCTCTCCTTGTTGGCTTTCCGGAGTGGCAACACCACTCTCTGTAGAGAAAGAACTGGACCTGCCAGGGAAATAGAGGGGATATAAACATATGTATGTGTGCACAAACCATGCTTTCCAACTTTCCATTGCTGTGAGCGTTTGGGCAGAGATGGCCAGAAAACCAATCCCTGCTCAAATCTTTGTGAGCAAGTTGGAAACAAGTGGGACCTTGCATATAGCATACAGTGGTACCTTAGTTCTCAAACGCCTTGGTACTCAAACAACTTGGAACCCAACACTGCAAACCAAGAACTTAGTGTTCTGGTCTGTGAACTTTTTTTAGAAGCCAAACATGATCCATTTTGAGTGCCCACACCTCTGGTGTTAAATGCCACGCTTCCGATTTGAGTGCCACACTCCCATTTTGAGTGCCACGCTCCTGTTTTGAGTGTTACACTGAGGTCTGTCTGTTTTTGCTATTTATTTTGCATTTTTGTTTTCATTGCTCTTTTTGTTTTGTTTTTGTGACTGTGTGGAACCCAGTTCAGCTACTGATGGATTGATTGTGTGACTGCAGTACATTGTTTACTGCTTTCATTTTATGGATCAATGGTCTCGTTAGATACCAAAATTCATGTTAAATTGCTCTTCTAGGGGTTGTTTTTAGAAGTCTGGAATGGATTAATCAGTTTTGCATTACTTTCTATGGGAAAGTGCACCTTGGTTTTGGAACGCTTTGGTTTTGGAATGGACTTCTGGAACGGATTAAGTTTGAGAACCAAGGTGCCATAGAGAAAACATAGAGAGAAGACTGTTCACTTCAAAACTGCAAGCACTGCCACAGCTTTCTCCCTTCTAAAACAGGATAAATATGTCTATTTCCATTTCTCTCCTTTTCTGTTTTTTCCAAATATTAAATTCAGTTTGGCACATTTCTGCAAACATTTGTGCATTTATTTATTTCTACAGTCTGCATGAAAATTCATAATTGTCGCATAATTTTGGTATGCGGTTTTGCCTAGTATATGCATTTTTGCAAGCAATTTTCCCCAAACAGAATGCATCTTTGTACATTGTTTTCACAAGCATATGCATCCCCCCATGCACTTTTCATTCATATACACTTTTGTGTACAGGTTCTTTGGTGGGATAACTGCATCACACAATTCAGAGAAGTGCAAAGTTTTGAAGGATAGTTTGGCTTTGGTTTGTGTATTGATTTGGGAAGTGTGAATTTTGCAAGTTCACATTTAATTACAAAGGGGGGAAGGATCTCCATTATACCTCCTTCCTTTCCCTGCCCGAAAGACCCATTTATTTCCCCTGCAACAGAGGAAATATGCAGGCAGTGGTGGAGACTCCAGTAGACCCACTGAAGTTTGCTCCCGATAAGAAAATTATGCTACTTGCTTGAGTTCCATCAGGGAGAGGACCCTCCAAGAGCATTCTGTGAGCAAGGCATGTCCTTTTCACAGAGTGATACTCCATCGCAGCAAGAACAGCTCTTGAACCATGCACTCACCTTGCACTTTCCAGCTCTGACTCATCCCTTTTGGCAGCTCTTGGGAGTTCACCTTGGATGCCGGTACTAAGGCTGCTTTCACTGGACCATGAACCAGATCTGACCGACGAAAGACAGTAACATTTGCAAATCTTGTCCATTAAAAAAAGAATACAGATGCAATATACCTCTCATACCAGTTGTTGGGAATCACAGGTGGGGTGAGTTCTGGTCTTGTTTGCAAGCTTCCCATAGGACTGCCACACTAGTTTATCTCTGCTGGTTGTGTGATTTTGTATATTTTCCTGCCTGCTTTGTTTTAATGTGTATTTGATTTTAATGTAAATCTGGCAATGAAGACTGGAAAAGGAATATCTGAAATAAATAGGAGAGCAATCCAGCCCCCTGAACTGCCATGAGCCATGCCATCACTTGATCTGGGTTTGGTTTGCTTTTCAATCCTAGGTTCTCATGCAGCAAAGGGGCTTCCTTCCTCTCTCCCTCCACCACACCTTCTGCTCTGCCTAGTTCGTGGCAGGGCTGTGGCTGTACCACTCCATCAAGCCCTGCTATTGTTTGCCAGGGATTAGGGCTGTAGCCTAAGTATAAATAAATAATGGAAACTGAGCATGCTCAGTAAGCATCGAATAGTGATTGACAGTTTTGGAGAAAAGCTGGAAAACAAAGTGGGAGAGGGAATGGAATGTTGTGGTTTGAACTCTGGAGACAAACACTCCACACCGCAACATAGTGCTGCAGGGACCCACTTATATATAGATTACAGAAGCAAGAGTTACTTTTAAGGAACAAAGGCACAGGTGAAAAATGCCATTGGTATCCTAGAGACAGTGGAGCTGCAAAATATCTTCAACAAAGGAAAGGTTCGACTGGGTCCTCCTCCTCTCACTGCTTCTGTGAAAAGTTTTAAAGAAAGCAGCTCATCTGACTTTTGCCCCGACCATATCAAGTAGCGAAGGTGGAACCTTCTGTTGTCTGCCTCCTTACTTTGCCAGATGAGCTTCCACCTTTTTGTATTCTGTGTCACTTGGACTCTCATATGCCATCTCTTGCATAGCCTTCTTCTCAAAGTCAGAGAAAGATCTGCAAGAAGAAAGGAGACGGTTGCGGACCCACTTGCAGTGACACCTCCCCAGGGAGCAAGGCCTAGCCTTAGAAGGTGAACAAACTGGACAAGACAATGTTCTCGGATTTAAAATTGGCCATGGCTTTATTGATTCCAGGTGTAGGTAGGATTTGGGTTAGATACTGGATGTATATTATCTCAGCCTCCAGGTAGAGGGCTGACACATGACAGGGTCAATGAGTTCTCCACAAGACGCAGGTCTACATGGCTGGCCATCCCAGGCCACTAAAGGAAGCTCTAGGGCCCATTCGCCCCATGCCTTGGCTTTTGGACAGAAACTTCCTTTAACGGGGTACTTTGTGATCGCACAGTTTTGAGGTAGGGGATGATGCACCACTTCACCCCTGGCCTGATGTTAGGATTCCACCTAATGCCTTATCAAGCCAAGTTGCAACTATTGCTATGGGGAAGGCGAAACCTGCAAACGGGGCCAATCTGTTTGCAGGCAAATTCCGTCCTAGCTCTGAAAATGGCAACCATTACTGAACCACAGGAATGCCAGTAAGCACGGTGCCCTGGGAAGGAAGGAAAGTTGGCATACAAAACCCACAGCATCACTAAATGGGGTGGAGAAAGGGAGGGTTGTTCTTCACCTGACTGCAGTCCCAAGTGTGGGCACAACCAGCATTTCTGTAGGCTAGGGGGAAACGGGAGAGAAGCTTGCTCCACTCTGGTCCTCTTACAAGCTCCGCCCGCTCAGCCAGGGCAGATGGGCCAGAATTCAAATAACCAGATGGCAGGAACACCCACCACTCCTAGCAGCCAACCTTGGGATTCCCCAACTGCTGGCCACCTCGCCCAGCATTGCTCCCTGGGACTCAAGGCCCTCCGCAACAGGCCGCAACCACCGCCCATCCTGGGACTGGGTAAGCTGCCAGTTCCAGTCCATCCTAAAACTATTGCCATCCATGAAATTGCCAGAAGGTGCTCCTTGCTCCCATTAGACAAAGGCCACATGCACACCATACATTTAAACTACATGGCTCTCGCAAAGAATCCAGGGAACTGTAGTTTGTTAAGGGTGATGGGAATTGTAGCACAATGAAGAGTAAAGTATGGTCCCTAGGACTCTTTAGGGGGAGCATCATGTGCTTTAAATGCAGAACGTATGAGCTGCCATATGTCTGGATTTTCCTGGGCATTTGGCCTATTTTCCACCCGGACACTGCTGCTGACTGCAGTATTCTGGATATGTCCGAGAAAATCCGGACATATGTCAACCCTAAATTAACCCACATGAACACAATGAATTACTGCAGGACCAATGACACTAATTCTTAGCATGGCTTACAAACCTTTAGGACAACATATCTCTGATTAATTTTCTGGAAGTCTGAGTAGCTGTCTGTAGGGACCCTTCAGTGCAGGGATGGGGAACCAGTAGCCCTCCAAATGCTGGTGGACTACAATTCCCATCATCCTTGAGCATTGCTTCAGCTGAGGTTAGGCTTCTTGAATTTATAAATAACCGCTTCCCCTAAAAAACTCCCAAATGCAATTTGCAATAATAATAAAATGCAGTGATAAAAATACATAAGCATATTCAAGACACAGCCAGAGTAAAAACATCCAATCGTTGGTGCTGTCCAAATGCACAGGGTGGGAGGGAAGAATTGCTGGGCACTGAAACAAGGACAAGCTGTTGCCAAGCAGGCCTCCCTGTAGATAACAATCCATAGACAGGAAGCTGCTGTTTGATTGATATACTAACATATCTTGCTAAATTTCATTCACACCACCGGGCATGGTAAGACACAATAGCAGACCACATTGCGTGCTTCTGTTCCTCCATTATTTTACCCTTGAAAATGGCAGTAAATAGCTGTATGCCAGAATACCATCCCCAAATTTTGTCAGATGGTGACACAATCCATGACAATCATGGGGAAATTATAGATCAAAACCCCCATAATTTTCCAGGTTAGCAGGTAGCAAATAGATTTCTTTTCCTGTAGGAAATTAACACAGATATGAGCACTAAATTTCCCCACGGATTCTGCTAGATTTCCACAAGTGGCTTTTATGTCATGTGAAAGATCACACAAAATGCAGAAATTATCAGGAAGATGGGAAATGCAGCCCTGGTTTGGGAAGTGCAGATTTGGTTGGCTTGCTTTTTAAAGCATACTGAATTGAATTCCCAACCCCATTCCTAATTATGATAGCCAATTCCTCCAAGATTATGTGGTGTCCCCCACATAAAGGGGGAAATATGGAATATTTCCCTAAAATTGGACTCTTTACCTAAGATAGCCGAAACCTGATTCTGACCTTCTGGGAAGACGGCTGATGACAATATAGCTAAAATGCCAATTTTGCTTTTTCCTATGTACCTTTTTGAGCCAGCATCCCCATCGCTGTCAAAGTGGGTGGGAACACTGTATGTTGCTCCAGAAGGAGTATCGGTGCTGTCCCTATTGAAAGAGCCAGCCCTATCAGAGACAGAAATACAGTTCAGTGTTAGATGAATATTCAGTGCCTGGATTTGCTGGTTTTCCTCTTCCATCCCCTTTTTCATTTGCATTGTGACTATTAAACTGTAAGCCCATGCGCAGGGAGCATGTTGCTGTTCTAAAGTCTTTTCAGAAGCACTTTGGGTGCTGCTTACATGGAATTTTTGGCCCTACTGAAGTTGTATTGGGAAGTTTGTATTGGGAAGTTTGTATTGGGAACTGACCGGGAGACTCCGAGACCAGAGAGAAGAGATGGTGGAAGAAGACTGGAAGAAGTTTGAGGAATATTTGAAAAAATATGTTAATATTTAAACCTTAGAATAGCTTTGGAAGTGGATATAGGCTGTAGGGTTAGAAGTAGAAGATAGGGTATTTTAAAATAGTATTATTTGTAAGTGATAAAATGTGAAGTTATTTTAAGTATGATTTTTTAAAAAAAGATGGTTAGAAATTATGATATATGTAATCTGCTAAAGATGAAGTAAAATGAAAATCAGATAGGTGGGACTTGGGGAAACCAACTTAACAATGTTTAGAAAAATAAGAATATGACAAGAATTTGTTTGTATTGTTTGTCTTCTCTGTCTGTGTTTTTTATTTGTGTTATAAAATGAATAATTGGGGGGGGTTAAATGCTTGATATTTTACTATGTTTTTATATATGCTGTAAGCCACCCAGAGTGGCTGGGGAAACCCAGCCAGATAGGTGGGGTATTATTATTATTATTATTATTATTATTATTATTATTATTATTATTAATGTTGTTGTTGTTGTTGTTGAGATTGCTCCCTACTTTCTCCTTCCATGCTCACACAAAATCTGTGTGAATTCTGTGACTTGTGAACTTGGGCTCCTGTATTTGGCCTCCCTGGTGCAGCTTCCCTCTTTGTGAGCCTGGGTAGATCTGCCAAGAAAACATCCAGCGAATTTTTGTTACGCATGAAGCAACACGGATTGTCAATGGCTGCTGAGCATGACAACAGTATATTCTGCCTCCAGTATCAAAGGCGGAATGCTGCCACTGAATGCCGGTTGCTGGGGAACACAAGTGGGGGAGAGAGTGCTATTGCACTTGTCTCATGCTGCAGGGCTTCACACAAGCATCTGAGTGGCCACTTTGAGAGCAGGATGTTGGACTAGACGGGCTTTTGGTCTGATCCAGCAGGATTTTCGTGTGTGTTCATGCATCTCATTTCCCTGCGTTAACTTCCCAGGGAAAAAAAGGGAACAGGGAAGACCCAGTTTAAATCTTCACTAAGCTTAGGAAGCTCATTTGGTGACCCTGGGCATATATATAGCATGTTGTAGGGGTTAGAGCATCAGACCTAGAGGGCTAGACTTAGAAGACCCAGGTCCATTGCTGGACATGAAATCCAATAAGTGAAATTGGGCCAGATTCAGCTTTAACCTACCTAGGAGTGTAGGGAAGGGGTATAGCTCAGTGGTAGGGCATCTGAGAAGATCGCAGGTTCAATTCCTGGCGCCACCAGGTAGGTCTGGGAGGGACCCTGGAGAGCCACTGCCAATCAGTGCAGACAAGACTGAGCTCGATGAACTACTGGAATACTGTGAGGTGTTCCAATGTACATTCTTAGGGGTGAATTGGCAGCTGCTGAAATTGCAATTATGGCGCCTTTTTTCAGGTGCAGGCTGATTTTAGGACCTTGGAACAGAGCAAGGTGGGGATTTCAGTGGGACGCGGGTGGTGCTGAGGGTTAGACCACAGAGCCTAGGACTTGCTGATCAGAAGGTCAGCGGTTCAAATCCCTGCGACGGGGTGAGCTCCCGTTGCTCGGTCCCTGCTCCTGCCCACCTAGCAGTTCAAAAGCACGTCAAGTGCAAGTAGATAAATAGGTACCGCTCCGGCAGGAAGGTAAACGGCATTTCTGTGCGCTGCTCTGGTTCACCAGAAACGGCTTAGTCATGCTGGCCACATGACCCGGAAGCTGTACGCCGGCTCCCTCGGCCAGTAAAGCAAGATGAGCGCCGCAACCCCAGAGTCGGTCATGACTGGACCTAATGGTCAGGGGTCCCTTTACCTTTACCTTTAACAATGAAATTATGTGAATGTTCTTGTCCATGGGAGGTTACTACCATGCTAGAGTTCTAATTAAACTGAATTGAAATGCTGTGGCAATGAGGTGAGTGCTGGCAGAGTCCATGCCCGCCCCACCCACTTTTAGAGAGCAGTCTTGCCACCACCTTTGGAGTCAGTTCAGGAGCTTTGTGCATAGAAAAAATGACAGCATAGCAGCCAGAGCTTCATTCCTGCTTCATTCCTGCAGGCAACGACAAAACTATCCCCTCCCCCCCAGGAAGTTGTCCCCACTACCCACCTTTCCACCACTGTAAATTCCACCCTCTTTTGGGTTTCTTGGACATTTTTCAGGCCGGATGTCGTCAAAAAGTGAAAGGGGAGCAGGATAGCTTTTCAGCAAAATTGTGAAAAATAGTGCCTGTACCTTTTGTCTCATTCTACAAATGCTAGAAGCTTTTAAAATTAAAATTAAAATTACATTGCAGGAGGAAGGATATCCCCCCCACACAGGATACCCATGTGACCGCTGTCAAAAATATCCATATGTTCAGTAATCAAAATATTCAAATAATTTCACCCATATCCCACTAAAATGAAGAGATGGCCCATACATATTTGGAATGGCAAATGTGAGAAGGGGAGGTAGTGGCCTGGAAGTCCCTGAACACTCTTTGTGCTGGCTGGACAGGAAAGGAATGAGGGGGCCGGAGCGTGGACACCAGCCAATGTACCTGCACATCTCCCCCTGGCCGCACTACTGCCCTTGAGCCCATGAGTCTCCCCAGGACTGGGAAAGCTGGCAGAGAAACAGCAGCTATGGCACATTGCCACCTGCTTTCTTTTTGTGCATGTGTGTTTTCTCTGTTGGTAGTGGGGGTTTCTTGCTGTGGATGGTTGTGGGCACCAATTCATACCACTCAGGATGAGAGCCTGGATGGATTGGAGTGGGGGGAAGAAAAGGGGTTAAGTTACTTAAAAGCCACAGAGTCTGTTGGCACAGAATGTGAGAGTGTCTTTGTGTGTGAGAGAGAGCAGGACTGAGTGGGCTGCTGTAAGTGAACAACAGAGTGGGAACTGTTGCTAAAACCACAGGTTATTTATTCTATTTAAATCTGCTTGAATGCCTTGTGTTTGCTTTTACCTAAGTATTTGGATAAATTGGGAATTTTAATTTTTGTTATTGTAGTTTTAAAGCTTGTTCACCTTATGACAGAATTGTTAAATTGTTTTTCATTGAACCTGTAATTTTTTAAAAAAATTGGTCTACTTGGTTTTTCCTCTCTTTATTTCATTAACTTTGCTCCCTGCTCTTAGATTGAAAATATTTTATTGAGGAGCAGGCCATAAATACTGCAAATAAATAAATAAAGTCTAGATATCACAAGCTGGTGGAAGGGAGAGACATACCGCACAGAATACCCTAACCATCTTGGAGGATGGTGTGATAAAAATGCAACAAGCAAATTAATCATTATCATCTAAAAAGAAGCCACTATTTTACATTATCTTTAGACCTCCAAAGTTTTAGCCATGCCCTTTTACCTTGGGGAGCCAACATCTATGTCACGCAGGTGTTCTCCAGCCATGGACTGAAGATAAGTCTCAGGTGTAGAGAAAGCATCTCTGGTTCGATAATGAGAGGTGGGCCTGCTAAGGAAAGTCCAATGAACCTTTGTGAGGACATTTGGCCAGACAGACTGTCAAACGTGACTAATGGTGATTTCCATACTTGGAAGTAGGGTTTTATTTGGCCCAGTTTTTGCTGCAGTTAAGACGCTCAAAAAATGCTAATTGAAACAGTTTTGTGGAAACGCATACAAAAATACATGCAGTAATAACACATACAGTGATGCATTTAACAGCATGTACAATTTTAATGTGAACTTTTCATGCAATCTCTCAAAGAATTCACACAAAACGGGATAGATTTCTGATTGAGTGCCAGCAAAAATGAATTAGGAGGTTCTTACCTCTTTGGGCTTGCCTCTGGGGAGATGACGATGTGCGGAGGTGTTTGACTCACAGTTGTACTTTTGGGCTTTATTGTTTCCCAGCTGTGGATGGCAAGAGGGCATCTGGTTAATAAGAGGCCTACAACCACTGTTCCATTCTCAACCAGTTTTCTGTTAGTCCAGGTATCTATGCAGGAACGTTGGGTTGTGTATATTCAGAAAACTCCAACTTTTGTGTGCCCGGAATACAGCTTACTGAACGAACACATCCATTGCTCCACCCTCTTGTTTACTCTGGCTCCACCTACCACTGCCATGCTATTCCTGGGATGTGGGAATGTACACCCTAAGAGTGAAAAACGTTCCTAATTTAGGGAGTGAGAAAAAAGCCAGTATAAAAGTATAAAATTTATCAAGTGGATGCTCAATATGATTAAAGATACAATCCACCCTATGCATTTAAAGCACATGGCACCCACCTCAAAATCACGGGAACTGTAGTTTGTCGATGGTGCTGGAAAGTGTGGCTGTGTGAGGAATAAACTACAATTCCCACGATCCTTTGGGGGAAGCCACGCTGCATTAAATGCGTGTTGAATGTATGCTGTGGGCATGACCCTGTACAACTTTCCAGGAAGTAAGCCCCACTGTACTACTGGGATTTACTTCTGAGTAGACATATATGGAATTGCATTGTTAATTTTGCATTTTTGATGATCACATAAGAAAAGATAATTGTTGTTGTTTTTCTTATATTCTGAACCAAGGAAGAAATTTACTCTCTGCTGAATAAAAAATTAGATCCAATGCCAACCATCAAATCATATTTATACTATCTCCCTGAGATAAATTTGCAGCAGACTGAGGCATTAATCTAAATAGCAAATAAGCAGTGCTTTTTCTTCTAGAAAAAAAAGGTGCCAGTACTCAGCATGAAGCTGTTACTGTGAGTGCCACAGTTTTAACACATGCTTTTTTTCTAGGGAAAAAGAGGTGCCAGTACGGTGTGCCCTTGAGTACCCCCAGAATAAAACAGCACTGTAAATAAGTAAATACCTAGATATGCATTAGCTGCCTCAAAAACTTAGGGAAGGTTCATTGAGAGCAGCTTGATAAACTTCTAGTTTATTTGTAAAAACTTTGAGAGGAACGTATATTGATTTTAATTCTCCAAATTTTATACATGCTATCTTTAGTGCTTCTGATCCTTTCTAATATTGCATTTCTGCTTTAATTATGAATATAACCATGGAAATATAAAATGCAAGTATTCCAGTTATTAATTATTAATTACAGTTTCGCTCCACCGTTTGTCTAAATATGGATCCCCACTTTATCCTCACAACAGCCCTTGACAGGTAGATTCTGCTGGGGAATAGTGAGCTTTGTGGAGGGACGGGGCATTAAACCCAATTCTCAATCCACCACTCTGATCACTATGCGGTGTAACACTTTGTTGGGCACGTGGGTGGCACCTCTGGCCTGTGGGTCACATGTGGCCCCCTGGACTCTCTCTAGGTCATGCCCCTCACTGCCCACTGCTCTGTGCTTTCCTCAAGTGCTTTTACCTGGCTGGAACTGTAATAATGGCTCTTTTTTTGCCTCGATGGGAAAGTGAATGCACACCTGGCTTTTGTGTGGCTCGGGAGAGTGATGATGCATTTGGGTCTTGTTTGCGGGCTCCCCATAGGCACCTGGCTGCTGGACTAGATGAGCCTTTGGCCTGATCCAGCGGGGCTCTTCTTATGTTATATTATCTGCCCACTTTTGCCTCTGATCCTGCCCATCAGTGCCATGTGGCTCTTGTAAGGTTCCCCACCAGGGAATGCAGCCCATGACTTGAAAAAGCCCCTCACACCCATTGAAAGTGCTGTTTTAAAAAAGCAGCAGCATTAATCATAAACACACTTAGTAGAGGGGCAAGTAAACATGCATAGGATTAGCCAGTATAAAAGAACACAAGTGGAAATTACCCTCTGACACTGCTGTGCAAACAGTGTACATAGGCTAAACACTTTACCTCCACAGTAAATGTGGAAGTGAATTACAGGTGTTTAGGATAGAACAACACGAGGAGGATTACCTGTCCTCAGAAATAACGGCACGAAGTGTTTCAGCACTTCGTGTGGCCTCGGATTTTCGTTCATTCTTCTCACTGTGGAAATCAAAGCATAAGCAGTTGGAAATTAATTACAGTTCATTTCTTTCTCACTCCTTCCAACCAACCAAGCATACCAGTTCCACCAGGAAGAGCAGTTCTCTACTTAGTTGCCTGTATTTTATGAGTAAATTAGGATTGCACAGATTATTACCTTCTACGTGAAGGAGAATCAGGAGATTTTGGAGAAGAGTTGTTCCAGGAAGTCATCTGATTACTCTCTTGATCCAGCTTGTTACTGGAAGAAGAAATTAGAATAATTATGTCCTTGGGAGCATATCTGGGCACAGTAAACTAGAGTATGAAGAAGGGATTTGAACTCTGCGTGTGGAAGAAATCGCAAAGGTTCTGCAGAACACTAACCCCTATTTTGAACCCACAGCACAAATGTATAACATTCACTGCAACCCTGAATATACAGGAAAACGTTGAGTATGAATAAAACATGGTCAGTTTGTTGCAATTTATGTAACCGAAACTGAGGCCTGGGCATCTATGCTGGAGAAAGAGACATCATTTCCACAAACTAGATTGGCCAAGAACTGTTCTTAAGTAGGATATCTGTTTGATTTCTGCCCAGTCTGAGTCAATGTAGAGAGGAGCTTCGTTTACCTGTTTTCCAAAGAACTGAATTGTTTGAACAAGGATTCAGAATAGGAACTGGAGGCTTGGTTTCCGCTGTTCGCTGAATCGAAGCTATGAAAAGAGAACAATGCAGCACAGGGCAAGTACGTTAAGGTTTTCTCCTTTTGAAACCCAGAGTTCCTCCACCCAGCTCTTCTCCCTCCAACACCACTTTCCTCTTGTAGATAAAATGGGTCTGATCCAGGTTTAGAGGAAGCCAGCCACTGAATATCAAGTTGCTATGGAGCAACAATAGACCAGGATCCCACTTTCATACCTTGTTTTTGAATAAGAATGGGGAAGAAAAATGCATTTATTTATTTTTTCCATTTTGGAGCTGATTTTTATTTTTATTTTTGGAGAGCAGCATCACAAAATATGGGGTGTGTGCAAATTTCAAAGGATCGTTCTAGCCCCCTCTGCACTATACATTTAAAATGTATACCACTTTAAACAGTCATGACTGTTTGGGAACTGCCTGGGAACTGTAGCTTTTAAGGGAACTGAGAATCATTAGGAAACTCCCTTAATTTAATGCATTATGTTACAGAAATGGCTAGCAAAAATAGGTATATTATGCAAAATTGTATTCTAAATTATGTGTGTTAGGAGGGAGCGGCATGAAAATGTTATGTGAAGACATAAAAAAGGCAAAGGATTAGAAAAATTAAAAACTGAGAAAAAGCACGATTGACAGATTATCTGGTTCTGCTTGTGAGCTTTGCGGAGGCATCTGAGTAGCAACTATGGGCAATGTGAAGTAGATGAACCTTTGGTTTGATCCAGCAGAGCTCTCATGATTTGGCATCATGTGCTATGTGTCCTATACCTTGCATGTCCCGGCCCTGATTTGGCTCAGTACCTGTCTTTCTAATATGGAAAGGGGGTGGTTACTGAACTACAGTAACCATTATCCTTGACCATGCTGGATGGGGCTGATGGGAGTTGTATTCCAGCAACATCTAGAGGGCCACAGGTTAGCAACCCCTACTTTAATGGAGAGCTTGGTATAAGCAGTTTAGTAAGACTTGTTTCATGCATTTCACAACAAACCCACATGTCAAGATCCCGGACTCCAGGCAGATGTTTCTTGAGTTACAGGTATTTGTGAGCGATGGGCCTCCTTCTCCCTGGTGGTTCTACAAGGGGCAATGAGGAAACTGACAGCAAATGGGTCATCCTCTGGGGCAATTGAGTTAAGGACACACTTGCTTATTTCTTAGGCTATTTTGGTTTTCACCACTTGCTATCCGTGTTAGAAACAGATATACAACCTAGGTGCCAAGTGGCTCCTGAAACCAAGGTTACAGTTGCCATATTGGAATGTCTAGTTGCCATTTTGGGGCAAGACAGCTCTAAATTCTTATTTTTCAAATGATGGACTGGTTGTGATTGATTATCAGTTAAACATTTGGTTAGTTCAGATGATAACCTTGAACTAGGTTAAGAACACTGACAACTTAAAGGAAAAAAAGTCACTTTATCCAGGGACATATATATTGGCCTATTCCGACCTCTTTTTCTCAATGGTGACACAGACCATTCATAACGTAGGGATAGTCTTCACAACTGTGAGCAGGGCAGTGGGGTTGCATAAGTGAAGAACAGCGACAATCATTAAATATAACATTGTTCACTGCTCTTGCTCAGGCTGCACAGAATAAGCATTTGGGTTCCTAGAATTCATTCTGATTGTGAAGATAAAATATAACTGAATTCTACAGGATGTAGTTTTAGTGTGTGAAAACAGTCAAGATCCCAGGATCCCCAGGCATGCACCTCCAGGTAGTGGAGACGTCAGGTACCATCCTGGAATCTAGACACCTTCACTTGGTCGCAAGTGGCTGATAGCCAGGTGCAAAATGCACCTGCCGCCTGGCTAATTTTGAGCATTGCTTGCTATAGCAATGCAGATTACACTAACCTTGTGCTAGAAGAAGCATTCACCACCCTTGTCTCACTTCGTGGGGATCCTGAAGTGCTTATTCTTTCCCCATTGGTGCTGCTGGCAAAACAGAGAAGGCCTAGTGGTTAGTCCATGGCATTATTGTCTTCAGTACACCAGACCCTCCAAGTCTCCCTATTTTCCAGGGATGTCCCTAATTTAGAGAAGCCATCCCAGTTTCTGATTTGATCCTGGAATGTCCCACTTTTCCTTAGGATATCCCTATTTTCATTGGAGAAATGTTGGAGGGTATGGAGTTTTCCAACCCTTGAGCTGTCTGAAGGCAATCCTATATAGGGAAGTTTTTTTTAAAAATGTTTAAAGTTTCATTATGTTTTTATATATGTTGGAAGCTGCTCAGAGTGGCTGGGGAAACCCAGTAAGGTGTGTGGGGTATAAATAGTAAAATTATCCTTATGGAATTGGACGTCCCTATTTTCATCGGAGAAGTGTTGGAGGGTATGGTAGATGCTCAAAGCAGCCAGTTCTATAGCAGCCAATTGCAGTTTGTCTTTGGAATGGTTCCTACCATTAATATCAGGGTGTAAATCAGGGATGAGTAATCAGCCCAAGGGCCGCATCCCTTCATGGGTAACCTTTTGGGGGCCACATGCCATTGGTAGGCAGGGGGCCAGATGCAGACGTGGAAAGAACAATGGATGTGACGCTTACCTTTCTACATTACATTTCTGACATGTAAAAGGTAGAAATTACTAAACAACACACGCAGCATCTCTCCACCTTCCTTCCGTGGAGGTTAGGAGCCTTATCACAATTCAAGGATCCATGTCAGTCAGGTAAAAGTATTCAAGGAGGGTGTGGCCTCTGAGAGGAGGTGTGGCCTACCGAGAGTTCCATGGGCTAGATTGCAACACCTGGGGGTTTCATTTAGTTTTTATGGCTTGAGGTTCCCCACTCCCTGGTTTAAATAATAAAATCCAGCTCAGCAGCAGGTATTTGCAAAAATCCAAAATCGGGCAACAGTGTACAATTCAAGCTGGACATTTTCCACATTTTGCTCTAACAAATGCAGGTCTTTTGTTTCTTTCTCTGTTTCGGAAGCTGCAACAAAGCCACTTGCTTCCTCACAAAACTATGCCATCATTTCCTAAACTATTTTTTTATTGTTTAAAATACAGGTCTAGCACTGCAGCACATAAACTCTATGAAAAGGAAAGGAAAAAAAGAAAGGCGGGGGAGTTATAGGCAGGCAGGCAGGCAGGGAAGAATTGGTGAAGGGTCAGGACAGCAGGTAAGGAAGGAAGGAAGGTGGCCACCAGATATAGATGTCCTGATTAGGGATGGGAGAGAAATTAAATTAAATTCTCATTTAAATGTAAACTTGCTTAATTCACATATGCCAAAATAGTACATGAACCAAAACATAGCCATCTTTCGAAACTCGCACTTCTCCATGCAGCTCTCCTGCTATGGAAATGTGTGCAACAATCCATATGCTAGGGTAAAGTGTCCATAAAAATGCATATATTAGTGCAAATAACATAAGCAGCATATTATTTATGGAGAAATTCCTTTACAAAATTGTGTATATTGCATTCAAATATTTGTGCATTAGGAGAAGCTCACACTAAAATGCTGATGAATTTTCATGGTGGCTTTCTGATGTGGAAAAGGGAACTGAAGATTAGAAAACTGAAACTGAGAGAAGCCGAGATTTACAGATTTGTCCATCCCCTAGTCATGGTGAGAGAGTATCAGAGTCTAGCCATAAGGCAATATGGGCCACTATCCAGAGATGCAGTTGGGGGACTGTTTTCTCCCACACCAATTGGTGGGCCTACAGAGACATCTAAAGTGAGAATCACTTTCATATTGACCAAAGGGTCTTACCTCTTCCCACGGCGGCTGAACCATCCTGAAGCAGGTACTGTCTGACTTCTGGAGCGTGGGCCTGTGTCATCCTCTAGATCAATCCTATCAGGAAGACAAAAAGCCCCAAGTATAAGTTGTGTTGTCCCTCTCTTTGCACACACTTCATTTTTAGGTTGTGAGGTGTGCCACGTATTTGACAGAGCTCTTATGTTCTCCTACCACCCACCCTAATTTGGTGTGTTTGTTTTTGAAAAGCAATTTCATTGGGGACATTTAAAAAATGGAGCAAGGGAGCACAAAGGCACAATTCCACCCGGCCTTGGAGACTACTCAATTTATTATAGCATAAGTTTTTCTGGGCTGGCATCTGAGAAAATGGACTCCACTCCAGGGAAGCTTGTGCCATATAATACATTGGATAGTCAATAAGGAGCTGTAAGACTCTTTGTTGTCCATCCTCATCCGGACCATTGAACCAGTAGAGAGACAACAAGGGGCCTTAACTCACCTCTTGGCCATGAAGGATGGTGGCTCTTGCGTTGGACTTCTAAAAACACACAAGTATTAAAACCCATCAGCAGGGTGAGTTGAGGTCACCATTACTTTCAAAAGATCAACTGCTCATGTGTTTTTATTCATTGTTTTGTGAGTAAAAGTGATAGGTGGCAATGCCACCACCACTTTCCTTACAAAAACACACCTCTGCCTGCTTCCTCATCCCATGCTGTTAGTACACAAACTTCAGTCACCCTTTCCTCTTCTTCAGCCCAACGCCCTCAAAGGAATCCTTGAAACCTTGTTTGTTGTTTTCCTCCCATAACTCCTGTGTAAATCTAAAGCATGGGTGGGGGAACCTATAGCCCTCCAGTTTGTTGTTGAATACCAACTCCTGCCAAGCCAAGCCTATGATCAGGGGTGGTGGGGGTTGTAGTACAATGACTACAGCTGGAGAGCCATGAATGTCACTGTTAAAAATAGTGCTATGAAGAGTAAAAGGTAAAGGTAAAAGGACCCCTGACCATTAGGTCCAGTCGCGGACGACTCTGGGGTTGCGGCGCTCATCTCGCTTTATTGGCTGAGGGAGCCGACGTTCAGCTTCCGGGTCATGTGGCCAGCATGACTAAGCCACTTCTGGCAAACCAGAGCAGCACACGGAAACACTGTTTACCTTCCCGCTGGAGCGGTACCTATTTATCTACTTGCACTTTGACGTGCTTTTGAACTGCTAGGTTGGCAGGAGCTGGGACTGAGCAATGGGAGCTCACCCCCTCACGGGGATTCAAACCGCCGACCTTCTGATCAGCAAGCCCTAGGCTCTGTGGTTTAACCCACAGTGCCACCTGCGTCCCGCTATGAAGAGTACAACCTGGCAAAATGTGTGTGTATGTGTTTGGTAGGGGTGGAGAGACTGGTCTATTTCCAATCCATGCCAATTTCAAATGAGTTAATTCAAAAATCCAGTCATAATTCTGCTGGCCTGTTTTAGGTTGTTACACCTTCAACCATTGCTAAGAACTGTTCTTTTGTTTCTCTTGTTAATAAATCCCCTTCCCTCCGCTCAAACTCACCCATTGCTTTTCTTAGCAGCTGAAAGGACATAGGAGCGCTCCCTGCTGGCTGTTCTCCTAAGCACGCTGCTCGCAGCTTCAGTCCTGTGAGGGGAAGAGAGAAAGGAAGTAGGATAGAAACAGGACATGCCAGTTTCTACATCTGTGAAGTTTAATCACAGAATATACAGAACTGTATAGACTATTCTCATTAGGTTTGGCATCTTACACATTGCCAAAAGAGACGAAATACATCACCACAACAATAGGACTAAAGAAAGATGACACAGGCCTGTATGAAATTTGCATATACTGATTTATATGTAATAGATACATATTTGGAAATAATCACTGTGGGCAAGACTGACTAGGTGACTTGTATGCTTGCTCTCTCTGCTGCCTTGTTGGTGGGCAACTTCAAAGCCCCTTCTCTCCCTTCTTAGGGTCCCTTACCTCTAAATTAGACTTGGACTGGACAGTCTTTCAAGCAGAGCAGCCCTCAAAAGAGAGGACTGTCCTCTGTGGTCTCATATGGCCACCTTGTACTGTTTGCTTCAGACTGCAGATGAAGGCTCTCTTGACTGAAAGCTCCACTCAAACCAACAAATCCTTGAGCACAGAAAACTTGCTGGTTTTCTGTGCAGATGGAACTTTTCATATGAAGTAGCATTTAATCATGTGAGCCCACAGCTGCAGTTGGAAGAAGTGCAGTCAGACACACGAGAACCTGGTCTAACAGAGCAATCCAATCTATATGAACTGTTGCTAGGTTGCTGGTTTATGTGACTGAGCTGAAAGATGTTGGGAATTAGTGCAATTATCTCCCTCTCTCCCGCCACCCCCTTGGAACGCCCCTTTCATGGGAGGGGGCTATGCCTACTTAAGCTACCCTGGCATTGCAGCACCTCAGCCTGGGTGGGAGATTTATGCCAACGTAGCCCTGGCTAACCTTGCCAACAAAGGTCCGTATAGTTAAAGCCATGGTTTTCCCAGTAGTGAGGTATGGAAGTGAGAGCTGGACCATAAAGAAGGCTGATCGCCGAAGAATTGATGCTTTTGAATTATGGTGCTGGAGGAGACTCTTGAGAGTCCCATGGACTGCAAGAAAATCAAACCTGTCCATTCTGAAGGAAATCAGCCCTGAGTGCTCACTGGAAGGACAGATCCTGAAGTTGAGGCTCCAATACTTTGGTCACCTCAGGAGAAGAGAAGACTCCCTGGAAAAGACCCTGATGTTGGGAAACATGGAGGGCACAAGGAGAAGGGGACGACAGAGGACGAGATGGTTGGATAGTGTTCCCGAAGCTACCAGCATGAGTTTGACCAAACTGTGGGAGGCAGTGGAGGACAGGAGTGCCTGGCGTGCTCTGGTCCATGGGGTCACAAAGAGTCGGACACGACTAAACGACTAAACAACAACAAAGCCCTGGCTCAGCTGGGGCAGCCCCAAAACCCGTTGGATCCAAAGCTCCCCATTCTGGTGAGTCTGGGATTTGGATTGCACTGTAAATCCCCCATGCACAGCTGTACAAGAGCTCATTGTTCATGGTGCTCTCTCTGCTCCAGGGACTAAACTCTGTTGCTTTCAAACATAACCCTCAATGTGCAGTCTGCTGCAGTTATGATGAGGTACCTCTTTTGTTGCTCATCTGGGGAAACGGAAGGCTCCACGTCACCTGGTTCGGATAGCTCTCGTTTGATGTTATAAGGAGCCCTGGATCATGTATAAGAAAGAAGAGGTGGATTGTTATTATTTTCAGCAAACAGCCACAGGAGGAAGCTTGCTCATCAGCCTCACCTCTCTACAACAGCTCCAACCATAGTGAGAGGCAGCAAAGTACACTTTGGATTCTCTGAAGCCTGCCAATACCTCCCTCTTGTGGCTACATCAGGATGCACATGCCCCTCTGAACTTTGGGAATGGGAGGGAATGATCTGCACTGTGAGATCATAGGATGTGGGGAAAGCGTTTGAGATAACCAGCCTCATATAACTGACATGCTTAAGCTTAATTAATGCATGAAGGGCCGGCCCAAGACATGGTACCTTCCTCCCCACCAGGGAGGAAGGTCCTGATGTTCTACATCAGGAACAAGGGTGGAATAAAGACCTACATTGAGATCTCCTGTCCTGTGGATCCTGCCACCTGAGGCAGTTGCCTCACCTTGCTTCACGGGTGGGCCGGCCTTGCTGCCTGTGCAACTTTCATGACCGATGTGTGGAAAAGCACATGAACCAGACCTTCCTTGGAGAGTTTGTAAGGAAACCATTTGTAACTTACTTAACATGTGATCTTTTCCTATACTGGGGAAAGAGGGGACTGTTTTGGAACTCACTTGGAAAGACATATTTTAAAGGTCTAAATAGCCTATATTTCCAACCTTTGCTTTACAGCATATTTTGTGATTTTAAATCTCTGCTGGGATTTTCTCAACAAAGAGTACTTTCTATACCTACTTTTTCTCCTGAACCAATAAAGTGAAAGAAGGAGCATAGAGCTTGCGGGAAAGGCAAGGAGGGTGATGGTGGTTAGTGAGAGCTGAAGAACAACCAGAGAGAGAAGAGAAAGGGAAAAAGGAGGGAGCAAAGCAACAAAACTGAACATTGGGAAGAAGATGAAAGATGGAGAGAGAGAGCGACTGAAACTAAAAGGCGCTTTGTGTCACAGAGTGTCTGACTGCTGTCCAATACTGACAGATAACTGCCATCATTGTTATGTAAAGTAACGGAAGTGGGGGGAATTTAGTTCATTTGTTGCCTTTGGCTTGGATTCTAGCTTCCATTCAGTGAATGGAGCATAGCTCCTGTTCCCAGAATTAGACCTCCCTGCCTCACCCTTCCATCTGCATCACCCTGCTCCTCCTGGAAATGTGATCCTGGGCTTAGGAGCTCCTTGAGAATGGCATGGAATATGGAGCAGAAGGGCTGCAGGTGTAGGAGGGAGCTGAAAAGGATATAACTCAGTTGCAGAGCATCTGCTTTGCACACAGGAGGTCCCAGGTTCAATTCCTGGCACCTTCAGGTAGGGCTGAAACCTGGAGAGCTGTTGCCAGTCAGTGTAGACAATACTGAGACAGAGGAACCAATGGTATGACTCTGTATGAGGCAATTTCCTATGTTACTATAAGAAATCTACCCTGACACGAAAAGAATAACAAAACAAAAAAGAATCCAAGTTTTTTTCTTCTTGTTGTTTTTATTTGTTAATTGTCAGGTTGTGCTGTTTTATTGTGGAAAGTGATAATGTTCAAGCAAATATGCAGTGTGTTATCTTGTAAACTGCTCTGAGATCTTGTGATGAAGGGTGGTATATGAATCTAAATAATAATAAATGAACATTGTTCTTTTAGCAAGGTTGGGCTGGGTGCATCCTTTTTATTCATGTTGCCGGATAAAGACCTTTCGGTTTTTATTTTGTGCTTATTCTATGTACCTATTTTTAAACACTGGATAAATAGTTTGATCTTTTAAAATGTGGGGCAATTCACTTTGAGGCTTTTTTTGTAAAAATAGCACACACAAAACCCAGCATCAATCAGAATGTGTCTTCCTTGCCTGTGATTGAGTTCTGTTGAGCATTACATATGAGGCGCCTGCCCTGACCAAGATGGGGTTTCTTTAGAGGAGGGGAGCAAATCCCCTCTGGGTATACTCACAGTTTCTTGTACTCCTCAGTACTCATCTTGTGCCCTTGACTGAAGCGGGGCAGGCTGGCGCTCTTGGCACTGAAAGCAGAACACGCCCAGAGATAATCAGTGGTTTGAACAAACAGAAGTGATATGTCTGCAGGGTTATATCCTCATAATATAACGGTGAGTGTGGAGAAGTTGCAGTGTCAAAGGTCTGAGGTTTTGTATCCATGGATGTCCCAGCCTCTTAGCCACCCCACTTCTCTAAATGTCCAGCTTTCTTTCTTTTAAGTAAGCTTCTAGATTTTTACTTGATACAGGACAAAGTGTGCAGCAAGACTATCCAATTACACTCTTGGGCATAGTACAATTTAATAATTTTGGGATTATTCACACTTACCAGGGAGTAAGCCCCACTGAACATTCCTGCATTGCAGGGGGTTGGACTAGATCAGTAGTTCCCAAGCTTTCTTTGGCCATGTCCCACCTAATCATCTCTAAAATCCTGGAACTGCCCCCCACCGGACATATAATTCTTATTATTTTGTTGTATTTTCAATATTTTGTTGGAAGCCCCCCAGAGTGGCTGGGGAAATCCAGCCAGATGGGCAGGGTATAAATAACAAAGTTATTATCATTATTCAAAAAGTGAACTCCTATTCACGTGGTAAAGGGACCCCTGACCATTAGGTGCAGTCGTGGCCGACTCTGGGGTTGCGGCGCTCATCTCGCTTTACTGGCCGAGGGAGCCGGTGTACAGCTTCCAGGTCATGTGGCCAGCATGACTAAACCGCTTCTGGTGAAACAGAGCAGCGCACGGAAATGCTGTTTACCTTCCTGGCGGAGCAGTACCTATTTATCTCCTTGCACTTTGATGTGCTTTCGAACTGCTAGGTTGGCAGGAGCAGGGACCGAGCAACGGGAGCTCACCCCATCGCGGGGATGCAAACCGCCAACCTTCTGATTGGCAAGTCCTAGGCTCTGTGGTTTAACCCACAGCGCCACCCGCGTCCCCAGATGTGGAGAAAGCCTAAAAGGCCATTAACTTGGTCTAAATCATTCTCAAATTGCCCCCCCTTAAAAATCAAATTGCCCCCCTGTTGGGGGGTGCCCCACGTTGGGAACCATGGGACTAGAAGGTCCATGGAATCCCTTCCAACTCTATGATTCTACCATTCTATCACAACTACTTCTGAGTAGGCACTGTTTTTTAGACAAATGTGAGCTACCTGTATTTATATTCTGATGGTTCTGAAATGATTGCCCATCCTTAACCCACCCACCCTTATTTCTGGCAAGGGGTTTGCTTGGATCGTATGGCTTTGACTTCATTGACAAAGCCATGTGTCTGTCCCAAGATCAGGGATTAATCAAACACACCTCTTTTGTGAGCCATTGGATGCTGTGTTCAAAGGAGTAGTCTTATCAATGGTCTTGGTGAAAACCCCTCTAAAAGAGAGACAGAGAGAGAAAAGATGTAAGTAACTTCCAAGATCACACAGAACATTACAAGCTTGGTGGATCTGGGAATGCTGTGGACTTTGTGTATCTTGATCTCCATAAGGACATAGTGTATCTTGATTTCAAAGTCCCCCATGATATTCTTGCAGAGAAGCTGGTAAAATGTGGGCTGGTCAAGGTTATTGTTAGGTAGATTTGTACCAGTTTGAAACTATACCAGACCCTGCTTAGCTTTGCAAATGTGCTGGCAATTTTATTGCTGCACCGCTAGGAGGACACACTTAAGCAGGAATAACCAGCTGCACAAATATAAGATGGGAGACACTTGGCTTGCCAGTAGTACATGTGAAAAGGATTTAGGGGTCTTAGCAGACCACAAGCTTCATTTGAGTCAACAGTGTTATATGGCAGCAAAAAAAACAACAACACAGCCAATGCTATTCTAGACTGTATCAACAAAAGTCTAGTGTCTTTATTAAGAGACATAATAGTACCATATTCTGCGTTGGTCAAGCAAACCTTAAGAGGAATGGTTGAAGGAGTTGAGTATATTTAGCCTGGATAAGAGGAGACTGAGAAGAGATGTGATAGCCATATTCAAATATCTCAAGGGCTGTCACATGGAAGATGGAGCAAGCTTGTTTTCTGCTGCTCTGAAGGGTAAGACCCATACCAATGGATTCAAGTTACAAGAAAGGAATTTCTGATTAAATATCAGGAAGAACTTTCTGACATTAAGAGCTGTTTGTGAGTGGAAGGTAACTTTTTTGGAAGGTGGTGGACTCTCCTTCATTCTATGATTCTATATCAAAAGCAAAATGCTTTCCTTCTTTCCGGTCCCATCTCTCTCACCTGATGAGGTACCCAGAAGGTGATGTGGCACTGGGAGATCTAGGTAGAGAACAGAAATACATTATGGGCAAAAGGAGAAAAATATGCAGAGACAAACACTTAACTATTGGCATTGATATTTCCATGGAGAAACACTGCTGTTGTGGGGAAACTACATTTGCCCCAGTGGTCAACAAGTTGTTGGGGAAATGTGTGTTTTGTTTTTAAAAATCTTTGGACGAATCATGGGAAGAACTACATCCATCCTGTTATGTACTGAGTGGAATAGGATCCGAACTGCAGCAGTCTGATTGGTCCTAGAACAATAGAATCCAAAATGCAGCAGTCTGATTGGTCCTAGAACAATAGGATTCAGAATGCAGCAGTCTGATTGGTCCTAGAACAATGCAGCAGTATGATTGGTCCGCAGGAGCCACCCAATCCAGCTCCAATAGAAGTCAATCCACAACCTGATTGGCCTACAGGAGAATTCCGGAATTAGCCAATCACGTGCAGCCCATTGTGTAAATAATGTATATAAAGCAGATACTTTGAGGGGACTTTCATTCCCTCCTCACCACTATGAGCTGAATAAAGAGCATGAAATCACTTTGCGACTCTGAGTATATTTCACATCCTGTGCCATTTATTTTTTACCTGAGAAAGGAAGGAACTACTGGTTTGGGGCTGGGGAGGATAGGGAAGGATGGTAGATATTGGCTGGTAGATATTGGCTGGGGAGAAGCTGCAAATTCTTCTCCAGCTCAGTTTTTAATCGAAGCCAGAGAAGAATCTCAGGGTTTTTAAAAGTTCCTCTCTCATTGTAAGGTGGGATTTACAACTGCTTGATGTTCATTTCCTAGCCTGGTTCAGGAGAACTTTGAAATCTAGTTTTTACAGAGAAGTACAGTAAACACATACACAAACTGAAATTCACAGACTACAACCTGCAATGCCAAACTTTATCTAAGGTAACCCTACCCCTCTCCCCCATTAAGTGCCCTACTTTTTGCAGTAAAAGGGAGTCACTAACTTTTTGGAATAACTTTTTGGAGACTGTGGTTCTGCTTGGGAAGGTGGTTCAGCAAAGGCTAATCTGGAAGAACAGAAGAGAAATGTTACCAGATGACAAAAGACAACATCATGACAGGATAAAACATCACAAATTCATGATGGAATTTGAGTCCTATTGCATTTGGCTAAGGAAGAGCTTACTGTCACTTGACTTTTATGTAGACTGATGTTTGCCTAGTACCTTTGAAGGTAGCTGAGCAGTTGAGTCAACTGCCATGATAAGAAGTATATAAATTAAGGAAACTGTCTTATACCGTATTGAGTCAGATTCTTGACCCATCTAACCAAATACAGTGGTGCCTCGCAAGACGAAATTAATCCGTTCCGCGAGTCTCTTCGTCTTGCGGTTTTTTCGTCTTGCGAAGCACGGCTATTAGCGGCTTAGCGGCTATTGACGGCTTAGCGGCTATTAACGGCTTAGCGGCTATTAACGGCTTAGCGGCTTAGCGGATATTAACGGCTTAGCGGCTTTAAGAAAAAGGAAACAAACTCGCAAGAACTCGCAAGACGTTTCGTCTTGCAAAGCAAGCCCATAGGGAAATTCGTCTTGCGGAACAACTCAAAAAACGGAAAACCCTTTCGTCTAGCAAGTTTTTCATCTTGAGAGGCATTCGTCTTGCGGGGCACCACTGTATTATATTCTCAGACTGGCAACAGCTTCCCAGAATATCATACAGAGGCATCCTCCCAGCACTGCTGCATCTCAAAATGTTCTAAGTCCAGAATGCATCTCAAACCCTACAAAGCCCACACAGAATTGCCAGTGGATAGATCCCAAAGGAAGCAAGATGTGTGCAGGCAGTTCGTCAAAGGCACCTGCGAGTCGGTGACAAACTCTTCGGTGAGGCAGGAGATTTCCCAGTGGTGCCCCTGGTCCTCAATGGTGAATGCCTGTTGGACGGGAGAGGGGAGAAGAGAGGCAAAAGTGAGAAATCAGTGTGGTGGAAGCAGTCCCTTGGTGAAAGAGGCTTTCATGCTCTTTCAGTTATTATTATCAATATTTAAATCAATATATCAATATTGATATCATTATATCAATATTTATTCATTATACACCCTTCGCCATAAAGTCTGGAGAACCAAAACACAACCATCATTTGAAATTTGCACTTATCCGAATGCTGAGATGCTATTCTCCAAGCAGGAGAATCATAATATACAAAATTCACCATGTTACAGGAAGTCTTCTGCAAAATGTGTATATTGGTCAAAACTGCTTGTACAAAAATGTGCTTATCTGGAGAAATTTACACTAAAATGCTGAAGAATTTTCATGATTTTTTTCTAATTAAAAAGATTATAAATTGTTGCAAAATTTGGAGAATGGAAAACTGAGAAAATGAGAGAACAGATTCTTCCAGCCCAAGACAACTGATAGATGGGCAGTTCTGCCCACCTGGCAAAACCGACTTACAAGGGTGAGGGGGTTCTACCTTGTCAGTATATTCCCCACAGAGAATGCACTGGCAAAGCAGCACCCTTCAGGACTGAACTCTGTGTTCACCAGCTGGTGAAGTGGGGATTCAATCCTTTTGGCTGCAGGGGTCTGCTTTGACAGTGTATTCCCTGCAGGGACACCAGCTGATAGACAGGCAGATGTGGTTTGGGAGAAATGGCCTTGCAGGACAACTTGTGTAACCTGGCTGGGCGATTGGCCCAGGGGCCGAAGGTTCCACCCTCTCCTGGGCTAGGACCAACATAAAACCTCAGACATACACTTGCATACATATGAGATAGATGACAAAGAATCTAAAATCCTAGTCGTTCCCTCTTTACAGGCTGCACCTTCAGAGGAAAGTGAATAAATGGATCTTTGGTGTTCTGGATCCTCAATTGCATGCCAATGTCTCTCAGTGCTCTGGCAGACACCAGCTGCTCATCAACTGCCCTTTTAAAAAAATACAAGGCTCTTCATATTCAACAGCACTGCACACAATGCAAAATCTGAAGTCTGATCCCTTGTGAACTTTTCTCTGAGAAGTTGGGTGATGATTGAGATATTATCTTTTGTCAGCGTTGGAAAGAGGACTGGGCAGATGGAGCAGCAATCTTGCAGGCAAGGCAGGTGAATGCCTCTACTCACAATGGGCTGTGGTTCTGCTCCTCCTCAGGGTCCGATCTCTGCTGAATCCAGCTCTTATCCCCTTTCAGTGTTGTCCGCACTTTCATCTGGGTGATGATCCTCTTTCGATCCTCATCGCTAGGTAGAATGACGCCATCTAATGAATGCACAAAGTGTTAGCTAAGTCACTTGCATAATGCATACACTTGCCCTTCTTCCGATTGGAAATGCTCTGTTGCAGGGGACAAAAAATGCAGGGGGGGCAGTGAGAAATGTCCCTATTTTCATCTGAAGAATGTTGGAGGGTATGCAGCTTAAAAAAGAGACGCTGGTGGTGCTGTGCGTTAAACTACACCGATCAGAAGGTTGGTGGTTCGAATCCCTGCGATGGGGTGAGCTCCCGTTCTCAGTTTCCGTGCGCTGCTCTGGTTCACCAGAAGCGGCTTAGTCATGCTGGCCACATGACCTGGAAGCTGTACGCCGGCTCCCTCAGCCAATAAAGCGAGATGAGCACCGCAACCCCAGAGTCGGTCACGACTGGACCTAATGGTCAGGGGTCCCTTTACTTTTACTATGCAGCTTAAAAGTAGAGCCCTGCAGAATGAGCTGCAAACTTCTAAACCCTTGGGAATGAGTAAGAATTACTCAGCAGTTCATTACCTTTCACAACGCCGAGGGACAGCATGGTTTGTGTTTCCTCCTTCTTCAATATTCAGAGTTTTGTGCTAGCAGGTATAACTGGGAAGGGAAGAATGAAATCCAGGTTATTAATGAGACTGGACGAGTGGAAGTACTACAGGCATTGCTGAACTTTCTACAAAATGGACTCTATTTTTTATGATTCTTCCAACAGTTGCATTACTGACTGCAGGGGTGAGGAACATTTTTTCAGCCAGAGAGCCACATTCCATCCTGGAAAACATTCCAGGGGCCACTTGCTGCTGGTGGACAGGGCCAGATGCATAAGGGGGTGAGGCAATGAATGCAAATGTTATCTTTGCATGTGAGCTCATGTGAGCTTTTTGTAAACAGACTTAAATTTTAAAACACGTGGGCACCTTTAGGCTTTTCGTGTAGTCCGACATCCTGAGGGGTCCAACCCCCCTGCCCCCAATAAATGTTGTTTTGTAAATTCAAATGTTGTTTTGTAAATCCAACTGTTGTTTTGTAAATCCACCTTGGATTTACAGAAATATGGGCACAGAGAAAAAGAACTTGGAGCTCTTGTGTTTAAAGAAATTATTAGCCCTAGTGGTTAAAGAAACCTCAATGTTCAGTGGCCCCTTCCTGATTGTTGTTATCTTGCAGGTGGAGTCCAGCTGCATACCAGCAAGTTCTGGTTGCACAATGAATGTAGTTTTGGTCCTTATGTTCAGTAAACCTGCTTCAAAATAAGTAAACAGGCCATTTGGAAGCAACCAATGGCAATGTTTCACTGGATACCAGTTGTTGGAGAACAATGGCTGGAGAAGCAATTTCATTCCTGGCCTGCTTAAGGGGTTGGGTGATACAGCTCTGTAACAGAGTACAGACTTTGCACGAATAATTTCTCAAGTTCAGTCCCTGGCATCACTAGTTAAAAGCCTCACATAGGTAGCAAAGACCCTAGAGAACTACAACCAATAGATATCACAGTAGATAATACTGAGCTAGACAGATGAACAGATAGGCTCATTTGCTATCAGGCAGCTTCTTGTGTTACAGTCTTTTCAGAAGTACCTCTTTGGCCACTGTAGGGAAACAGGATGCTGAACTAGATGAATGTTTCTTCTTAAGCATTCTTATCTCAAGGTACAAGACAGGAAACATATAAATGTCAGGAAATGTACTATAAACTAAGGAAGTTGTTGCTTGGGTTCTACAGAAATCGATTACATTAACATTGCAGTACAGGAAAAAAAACAATGTATGAGAAATAAAAGAAGCAATAAAAATGCAATTAACAACAAATCCACGTTGTAGACCACCCTGAATGAACACATCCACTGGCAGTCAACATATGGAAACCCCTGTCTCAATTGATTGCAGTGGGTGGGTGTGTTCCTAGGGTTTATGAGCTGTCAGCATTATTCTACAATATCGAGTTCTACTGCTGGCTGTGCATGTCTCTTGTCTTGATAGATCAACAGTTGGTAGAGCTGCCTAGAAGAGTGTCTCTAAGGAGAGAGAATATCTTGGTGGGTTGCTGAGATCAGCATGCGTTCTCCCTGCAGCTGAGCTGCTTGTGTTCCAAAATGCAGAGTGGGGGAGTCCTCTGGGCTCCTGATTCAGCAGCTTGCGGGGGGGGGGGAGGATTTGGCAAGCGTGTTCCAGTATTCCACTCAAAAACCTTAATAGAAGCGGAGAGAGGAAGCAACGGCTTATAATGTGTGGTGTCTGTGATATGACTTTAGCGATGAGCTAAAGCTTATCCTGATTGCAGAGAGAGAAATTAAGAATCACAAATAGGCGGTCAGGGAAGGAAGAGGGAGGAGAAGACAGCTGTAGGGAGCTGCTTTGGAAATGCTCAGCTTTCCTCATATAACAAGCAGGATGGGGAGTCTGTGATCTTCCATGTTTTGTTTGACCGCTAACTCTGTTTGCCAGCATTGGTGAGGAGGAGGGTGCCTACTCAAGGAGGAAGGGAGCCCTGAAGGCAAAACATATGGCCAGCACAACCCTTGACATTTTGAACTCAGCCATTCTAAGGGAATGTAGATTCAGTGACATCCTAGACACAGCTGTGGGAAGTAGGAGAAAAGAGGAGGAGGAGAGTTTTGATCATCATAGTATTGACCAGTTACAAGGTGGACGCACAAGACCTTGTTACTCTGGAGTGCTCTTGTTCAGGACTCAAGCCAGCCAGCAATACCCTTCCAAAGATACTCCATTCAGCTTCTAGCTCCAACCCTCTGCCCCCCCCCAACAGTCATTCAGCATTCCATGCCTACTGAGCACACTGTTTTTGGCTCTAGGCTGTTTTCTCGCACTTTTGCAAACCTTGGCTGCCACCCAAACCTGTTGTTACCACCCTTTTTTATATACGTAAGGATCCGCCCTCAGAGAATGAGTTCACTGTTAGTCTATAAGACGGAAGGGACAGTGAGCCACTCCCGTTGCTTTAGGATGAAGTAAGCACTGCTAATTCCGCCCTCTGCCTAGCCACCGCTTGGCATCCTGGTCCTGTCATGCATATTTGTGCATTAGTTTGTTTCCTTATCACAATGCAATCCTAAACAGTAAATGTGTCAGCCCAGCTGTCAAGAACTGGTGTCGACAGCACTGAAAGCAGGAAATAAAACTTATTTCCCCAGTACCAGAAATTTGCCTTGATTCCAAGGTGTTTGTTTTAGCCAGGGCACCAGGTTTGGATCCCCACCCAGATCCCTCAAATATGCTAGTTTCCATAACAGCAAAGAACTGAACTATCAGAGGTACTGAGACTACAGGCACACTCTCCAACATGTCACGGATGAGAAGGGAGAAATGCATGTTGACATCCCAGCAACCATCATATCAAGGATGATTGAAAGCTACATTCATGCACTGGCGGTTCATCCCCAAACTGTTGGAGAAGTTGGAGGGCTCTGTAGAGAATATTCTGTGAAATGTACTGCAAAGCCCACTCACACAAAGCAAATTCTGTCACCAACCAGTGCCATTTTTCTAGAAAAATAGGTGCTGTAGCTCACCATGAACTTGTCTCCTGTTCTCTTAGAATGGCAATGGCATCCACCTGAGATGTGCTGGAACTGAGCTCTGGTGAGTTCTGGCTGAAATAAAAGCCCTGCCACCAACAAATGGGGTGTCTATGCAAATATCAAGGACACGGGTGGTGCTGTGGTCTAAACCACAGAGCCTAGGGCTTGCCAATCAGAAGGTCAGCGATTCGAATCCCCGCGATGGGGTGAGCTCCCTGCTCCTGCCAACCTAGCAGTTTGAAAGCACGTCAGAGTGCAAGTAGATAAATAGGTACTGCTCTGGCGGGAAGGTAAATGGTGTTTCCGTGTGCTGCTCTGGTTCACCAGAAGCAGTTTAGTCATGCTGGCCACATGACCCAGAAGATGTCTGCGGACAAACGCCATCTCCCTCAGCCAGTAAAGCGAGATGAGCACTACAACCCCAGAGTCGTCTGCGACTGGACTTAATGGTCAGTGGTCCCTTTACCTTTACCTATCCAAATATCTGGCTCATCTTGACTTTATAGAACCTCAGTAATGATGGAACCCACAGGGGGAGAAAACTTTTATTTTTACATATATTTTGTTATTTGTATGAGCTAATGCTTTATTATATATTTGGAACAGCTGTACTCTTGTCCCCCCCAGGCTGTGATGCTTTATGGTCTACATTTTTTTGATCCTTTGTTTTCTTTCTTTATACCTGCACATTTTTTTTGTTAACAAATCAATAACATTTAAAAATTTTAAAAATGCAGTGACAAAGCAGGAAGGGGAGAGTGTGAGAGAGCTGTAAGGTTTGCAGGAAACATGGACCACTTATAAACACCATCTCCAACTCGAAAGATTCCATCAATGGTGTCTCCGAAAAATTTTACACATCACTTGGGAAGACAGGCAAACTAATATCGGTGTACTGGAAGAAGCAAAGATCACCAGTGTTGAAGCAATGATTCCTCAACATCAACTTTGTTGGACTGGTCATGTTGTGTGGATGCCTGATGATCGTCTTCCAAAGCAACTACTCTATTCCAAACTTAAAAATGGAAAGCGCAATGCTGGTGGTCAACAAAAGAGGTTTAAAGACAGTCTCAAGGCAAATCTTTAAAAATGTAGTATAAACACTGACACTGGGAAACACTGGCCTGCGAGCACTCCAGTTGGAGAACAGCCTTTACCAAAGGTGTCATGGGCTTTGAAGACACTTGAACTCAGGATGCAAGGGAGAAATGTGCTAAGAGGAAGGCACGCTTGGCAAATCCACACCGTGATCAACTCCCATCTGGAGACCAATGTCCCCACTGTAGAAGGACGTGTGGATCCAGAATTGGCCTCCACAGTCACTTACGGACTGTTTATGGAAGACAATCTTACTCAGCTACGAGTGATCGCCAAAGAAGAAGGAGAAGGAACAGAAGTATGATAAAACTTCAGTGGAGGGGGGAATCCTAAAGGGGCAACAGCTAAACAAATCCCAATATACCTATGTTCAGTGGACATAGAATGCTAAGTGTCTCTGGGGTGGAACAGGAAAGATTCCTGTAAAGAGTGCTTGTACCTGTAACATGCTGGGAGGAAACTGTCAAGAAAGGGCAGGGCTTGCTACTGTTTCATGATTCATGGTTTGGGGAGGGGAAATGAGCACCGGCAAGGGCTGTTTGTTGTTCCCCAAAGCCATACCTGCCAAGTGCTTCCAACCTGCCTAGTTCTGCATGAATCTGCAAAGCCAGAAATTCCAGTGCAACCTGAGTGTCTGGGATGAGCTATTCCAAGTTTAATTGAGAAAAAGAGGCAGTCTAGACCTGTTGATGAGAGAGCCTTGGCGTAGCTAGTACATACATTGTCAAGTCTCTGAAAAATTAGACAGCTGCTTTAGCGTGGGTCTGTATGAGAGACGGAAAAGGATGAAAGTGCCAAGTTGTGTGGCCTCTTAGTGGTTTTATAACACAGCAGCTCAGGTAGGATGCCCCACTTTGCAGAGGACAGCCTTCCAGTTTAGGGGTAGGGAGCCTGTGGACATCCAGATGTTTCTGGACTAGAACTCCCCCCATCACCCCTTACCACTGGTTGTGCTGGCTA